TTCGAATTATAATTGCTATACCTATCATTAGACCAAAACCAATAGAGTACTGCCGTTAAATTAAAATTAAATAATTTTGATGATTTAAATAACAGTCGTAAAGAGAGATATATTCGTATTTTAAAAATTTGTGCGATTTTTATTCTTTATCTGAGGAAATGGAACTTTCTAAATTTTATCGTACTAACTTTGTAATGTGGGTCGAATGTCATAGATGCAAAAGGAACATCACCTTAACCGATCCATTGTCCACTATGCGCCGGGGCATAACCGGAATTTAAATCAGTTACGCCGTGAAACATGTGTTGTTGTATGCTTATATGGTGTTACTTATGTAAGTACAAGTTACCTGCTTGCATATGAATTGGACACGTCCTTTTTAGTTTTAAGTTTATGTTTTTTTAATATTTCACCGACTCGAATAGTAATAATTTAAGAATGTTAAAAAATAACTTCAATCGTGACAAAACTATTATGAGACGAACAACGGGCATTTCAAAAGGAATAAGGAAATTTATCATGTAAGAAAAAAATACTGTCAAATCGAGAGTTTCCTTCTTTTTGAAGTCGGATTAAAATAGATCTTGTATACTTTGGTTTATCTATCCGTCGTGTCTGTCGTTACAGACGTTTTTAAGGGTTATTTAATGAAAGGTATATTTTTAAACTCATACTATTTTTAAAGGTTAATGAGAAAGTTTTTTTTTTTTATTTGGCAGTGTTTTACACTGTCTTAATAAAAAGGTGCCAGTAAAAGTTCGATCTTTGGATCTTTTTCGAGAAATTGTATAATTCTTTTAAGTCGAAATAAAAATGATTATTTTATTTTAAATACACAATCGAGACTTAATGCGATGTAAAAACCTTTACAGTTGAATAGTAGCTACATACTTGCTTCTTTATTGCCGACGTTTCGACGTGGAAACAGAAAAAAAAAGGTATTATAATTTAAAATATATGTAAACAACGCGAAAGTTTAAAATTAACTAATGTTTATCTTTTATAGGAGTTTAAACTGGAAGCTCCGTCATTGTCATCTATTACGTAACATCAATCCATCATTCTCGTCATCATCATTTCAGCCATTATCCATCCACTGCAGTACATAAGCCTCCCCCATAGACTGCCATAAAGAACGGTCCTGAGCCACCTGAATCCACTCACCCTGCAATCTCTATTTTGTACTGTGGTAGTTCTGTATGTCATAGTTCTATTTTATCATCATCATCATCATTTCAGACTAGTTACATTATCCGTCCACTGCATGGTATGGGTCATGGTTATTGTTACAATTAGGGAAAATGTATATGTTTATTCCGCGTTATCATGATATAGCGCATGGAGCTATGTCGAATTGTTCATTTAAGAGATATATGTGTTTTTATGGGATGAAAATAGAATGGTATCAATGATATAGGTGGAAAAAATATCCACTTTAACTACCCACGGGGGAAAGTTGGTAGGGGCAAGTGGAACTGGCCAAATGATGATAAGTTATAACATAAGTAAAGACGCAGTGTAAAAAGCTCGTGAATTCGCCACGATGGTTTGGTTTCCAAGGGAAACTGCGTGGAAGTCAAAAGGTATGAGGTAATTTGAGGACTATTCCGATTACTAATGATTTCCTCCCCCTGGATATATGTTTATCTGTAACCGTGACGTAATGTATACAAAGCAGATTATATTGAAACATTATGTGCAGGCTGTTAGCAATGATGTTTGTTAGGATAATATCTCAATAATGTACTTTTCCCCTTTTTACTTTTAATGTACTTTACTTTTATGGTGGTCGTGTGTTTTGGAACCAAATCAATAGAACGCTTTCTTTTCTTCACTATTTCGAATTCTAACATTATAATGTAAAATCATCATTATCATCATGTCAACTTTTGACTGTCCATTTCTAAACATAAGCCCCCCCCCCCCCCCCCCCCCCCCGGAGTGTTTTGCCAGCAGTTGTCACGCGTAGCAGGCGGTTTGGCAAACCCAGTTAAGCTTTGGAGAAGTTTTAAGAGGGATGCTGCTTCCTATCCCTCTCCCTCCCTTAGTTGCCTCTTAGATACCCATGAGAAAGGGGCGGTGGGACCACACAGTAAAATATAAATATATATAATGTATAATAGTCCAGTCCTATAACCGCGTTAGGCCGAAAAATAGGGAAATCCCTAGGGTATTTTTAATTTTAAGCAGCGAAATTACAAAAAGGACAGACATGACCCTGTCGGTTGTGAAGTGTTCGCTTAATTTATGTCTTGTCAACTTTATAATAAAGACCGAAATGGCGCGTGTCAGTGTCTTGAAAGATTGTTTTGTTCTTACTTATTTCAGCGGCTACGCCGTCTGGTTTAGTAGATTAGCTTATGAATAGTGATCGATCAGAAAAATACCAGTCTCCGCGTATAACTGATTAGTTCGTGTGGGAATTTTGTTACAAGACTTTTGTTGTCTTTTCCGGTGGACCAAAAAGCAACAAACCGATCCTGTTAGTATCAATAACAAATCAAACATTTTTTTAAAAGATTATTGATAATTTGGTTATAAATTACAATCTATTATATACATATAATAAAAATGTAGAGGTCGAATGTCTGTGTATAGAAAAAAAAAACTGCTAAAAACCGAGTCAGAGGGAAGTAATATAGACCAGATCCAGATTGTTTTTCAATTTTTTTATTTCTTTGTCTGTTTCTATGGGCTAATCTACGAAACTGTTGGACCGATTTAAGTAAAATTTTGCTTACATCCCCGGACGACATTTTAGATACTTTTAATCACGGAAAATTAAACTTATTAAGTTTAGGAAAACTTTTTTTATAGTATTCCTTTGCTCATCTCACCTTCGACAGCTACATACGACATAGTAAAATTTGTAAAGTCAACGAAGATGAAATAATTTATTTTAAGCGCGACCAGTTGACATAAGCGACATCTACAGTCAGCATCTGAGAAACGTAGCTGAAGTCAGCTACCAAAATCACTTTGCATACGTTCGAGACGACAAAAGTCGACGGTATAATGACTCCATTAGCATATTTGTTGCATTACCAAGCGAGAACAATTGCTAACAAAATGGCCCTACAGCTCGCTTCGGACGAGCGTCGAGTAGCTCTAGTGTTGTCTCTCCGATTGTCGATGATTGTTCAGATTTTTTAACCCATTAGACTGATTTTTGATGTAATCAACTTGTTATCAAATCAATATACTATCGAATAGATTTCAAATGGACGTTACCATTATACTATTTGACGAAGGGAGTGGAGGGACTTGCTTTTGTGTGTAGTCGTTGCTAGCAATATATCATTGAACTCCACGCAGTCTGTTTTGGAAGCCATCGTAGTTAATTTTTGGTGAATTCGTTATGCTAGGCTGACTGACCTCACTTCATACTTGGTTGTCATATCTCTCTCTCTCTCTCTCTCTTTCTCTCTTTCACTGTTACTGTATACTGACAGTGCAGATGGAATTACCATTTCATTATCATTCCTTAAATATTATTTCAAGTCTATTTTATGTGATTTCGATTCGATTCTATTTTGATTTGAAGTCTGCTGATGATTGCATCAAATTGTGGTAAGAATACAAAGTTTCACCACAATCCTCGCCTTTCATTCGTAGGATGTCGTAAGAGGTAACTAAATAAACAAGATATATGCTGCTTTGATGCATTGACATCTGTGCAAAGAAAATGTCGAAACAGTACTCCGTGCATGGTAATTAGATGTGAGGCCGGTGAGCAATGTCCGTCCCAGAATTGAGTGGTGGCCAATTCAAGATATGAGCAGATCATATAACAATGCGAAAGCACATCTCTGAAAATTTTAAAGGACCAGGCCGTGCCAAAAATATATCTTAAACCTAACTTAGTGACTGAAAATTTAATATTTGAAATCGTTCTTAATTTATTTTCTTACTTAACATTTCGATTTTGTTGCCTTTTTGATCTCGCTTGGAATATGGTGATTATCGCTTAGTCATTATAATTCAATTCAGTTATTTATTGCATATTCATGTTGTAACAATATAGATCTTAAATATTAGAAGTACAGTATCAACATGTATCCTGTAAGAGCATAGCAATATATTTCTTGTAATCTGTATTTGATACTATTAACCAGTTCCGGCTTCGCACAGATTTTTAAAAATAATATGTTATAGGCTGATAATGTAGCTTTCTATAGATAAAAGAATTTTTAAAATTGGTTAAGCATTTTTTATGTATGTCCGTTACTAACAAAAAATCTCTATACTATCAATTCAGATAACAGAATTAGTGTTCAATTGAAGCTAACTCAATATCGTTAACTTATTTCAGAATATGCGTCTCTTATTAATTAGGTGCAGATTAATTTGTTTAACTTTTGTATGGCAATGGTAAAGTCAATCGGTTCGCGTAAATTATCTTGTGTTCGATTCTCTATCGGGTCAACTAACTAAATAAACTCCAGTCTGAGTTACCCACTGGTGTTGCTAGGTGGTTAAAAACCTACCGAGAAGAGATAATCAGAACACCTTTACTCATCTTTATTATGGGATGTTTCCATTCAAATTTAAAGTATTTCAACAAAGTAACCATCTAAGGCACTTTTAATAGTATTACATTAATTTATTTATCACCTTGTAATAATATATTATGGAGAATTTAGACACTGTTTGCTACAGTTCATAACAATTTGTTATTTTATATAAAAAAAACGTGATAATACAGTCGTAAAATTATGTATCAGCCCAGCTACCAAATTATAGTAGGTAAGTAGATTACGTCATAATAATATGAAGAAGGCTAATTATTTTGTTTCAATTATTATTTAATATCACTCCTACTGAATACGGACGCTGTGCTTGTTGTTAATATTTTATATCGACTCGATTAGTTTATTGTTGATGAATAAAAGTTTTTCACTCGATAACGTATATCGATTTGCCATCACTAAATGGTGACGGTACAGGCGTCGGTGCCAGTGCTCTTGTTCTCTATATTGTGTCACACTATAGCTGAATGTTGTTGAATGGAAAATATGAATGAATACAGTCATGTCGATAATCGATTGGACATCACTCGCAGTGGACACAGACGTCGGACTAGTGCGGTCGTGTTTGGTATTTCGTATTGTGCCGCCGCGTTCCGTGGTCGAATGTTAATGAATGGAAAATATGATTATAATAGGTGAGTGGTGAACTGTTTTTTCTCAATAAGAACTAGTGTTTTACTATAGCGGGCTGCGCACAATGTATTATTGTCAATGATTTGTTGTTAATTTTTATTGTGTTATTTATAGCGGCGTTAAAATAAAATATGCAAATAGAGTTTTGGTCGGCCGATGTTATAATAAGCGAGCGTTCTCTAAACAAGTAGTCATGAGATACGTGTATTTAAAAATTTTATAAATAGCATACGAATCTTTTCCCGAAGAGGTAGGCGTGTTACTGTTTTGTATTGTTATCAAATGCTTTGACATTCGCGTCGCACACTCACGCACGGCACACCTGGGACTCGGGCGTGATTGTATGAAAACGCGCTACATATATATATATATATATATTACAATTATTTGGTATTTGAACACACAAGTGTGACCAATAGGGAATCTATGTGTGAGTGAAACGAGACATGAAAGGATTTTGTCATTTCGTTCTATATGTCTTCGCACTGCTTTGTCTCGCATTATCACCTATATAACAGTCGTAACGTGTTTTGGAGACTGCACTGAACATATTAGTGTATTTCGAATTTCTACCTTAATTATAAGTCGATATAAGGTTTATTTTAACTGTAATTATTAATTATCATTTTCTATTCTGTTAGGATTTTAAAATCAACTCGATTTCTTAGCAACGGGCAAGGAATTGGGAACGTAAACAATGTAACCCCCTCTCTTACTGTAGCAACAGGGATTATATTATGGAGCAAGGAGGTGAACAGAAAAAGGTTTACGCTTTTTTTATTGATCTTTGTTGAGCGTTTATTGGTAGGCAGATGGTAATAGAATAAGAATGGAAGAAGAATGACAACACCTGTCATCACCTTTCTTTTAAAGTAAAAGCATTCATATTTAGATTTAGATCATTTTTTAAAAAGTCTTAATAAGCCTATATACATATCCTCTTCTATCTTATATAGATTTGAAATGTAAGCTTAATGATGGTTAAAATAAATTTTTAAATCCCCTACGTACCTAGTAACCTATTTCTTTAACTGTAATTGAAAACTCACTCGGCTCGTAAGAGATACGAGTTCTATTCCACAGTTTCGAGGGTTAGAATTCACAATCAAACATTTACGATTCCTGAACGTAGAATATTCATTATAAACTGTTTTCAAACGCGCTTGAAAATACATATTTCAAGGCTACAGAAGAGAATGCTAATAACATTTATTAGTTAGACTCTACCGGCAGAGCGAGGCTCCTTATTGTTTGTCTATCGTTCACAATTTCAATCCTCCGAAACGTCTGCTGCACTCTATTCTTACCAATATTATAAAAAGTGAGTTAGTTTGTTTGTTACTTTTTCGTCCCCTTAACTGCTTATTTAATGCGCACATACAATATTCGGGATGGGGGGGGAGGCGTTTGGGGATTGTTAATAATGCGGTCTAACTGACCAATTGCCAGCAATACACCTTATCAGGCCGACCTCCACGCGGTTCCGCCTGGAAACCATCGTGGTTAATTCTCGCGGAATTCGTCACGATGGGCTAACTGATCTGCTTTTATCGTCACCTATATCATCCCTCACTGTTGCTCCGCCAGCGTATACCAATAGCGCAAGCAGGGTCACCATTCCATTATCACCTATTAAAAAAAATCAGGATGGACCTTTCCATTATAAATATTACTTGTTACTCACATAGGTTACTTTTTATCCTGGTCCATGTATAAATGTCGGCGAAATGTCTGTAAATGACGAAGTGGCGTGTAGACTAGATATAAATTGGCGAATTTGTCTTTAAATATGATCCATATTGTTTGCAGGTGGGCGGCGTGGTCGGCCATGGGGTGCTTTGGCTCACCAGGTGGTAAGAGCGGCGGCGAGGGTGACGACCTCAAGTCGCAGAAGCGCCGTAGTGATGCTATCACCAGGCAGCTGCAGAAGGATAAGCAGGTGAGCTAGATTTCGACTGTACACAAGTTTTTTAAAGGTAACAATCGCAAACAAATGTGAGACGTGTTGAAAAAAACTGCCGTCTTTTTATGTGAATAACTAATGAATGTGGGATGACACCGTAGACATTCTACTATCCACCTAACCTTTACGGGAGTCTTCTAATAGAACAACTGAACAATTTCCCCAAAGAAATATGGGTCGAAAATTAAAAAAAAGAACATTTAAATTTATTTAATTATCATCATATTAACTGGTAAGTATCCACTGCTGAGCATAGGCTATTGTCAGGACTGACAGACGGGTTGACAATTGCAATTTGGCTTTGATTTGGACGCTACTGCTCATCCCTCGACCATTCAGTTTCCTTAATTCAGCCTTTTACGGCACCTACTGACAACGCTCATCTCCATCTATCATAGCTGCCAAGTTAGTATAAGGTGCGAACAATTTTCAATTTCATACATAGCACTTAACAGACTTAACTACACTTAACAGATTATGATGTTGGGCTCTTATTAAAAAGAAAAAAAAATACACTATTTTAGGTAGTTTGTTTATTAATCAAACAATCTACAAAAAGTAGTATAAAAAGTAAAATAAATACATATAGTTCAAAGTCCGTAGCTGAAGCAGCAGTGATCACATCTATCAAATAAGTGATGCTAAATTCGGCTGATAATTTGATGCTTTGTCAGTTTACGTTGGCGGGGTACCAACGAGAGGTCATAGGTGAGAATGAAGTCAGGTCAGTTGGCCCATCATGATGAATTCATCAGGAACTAACTACGATAAGATAGTGTGTCTAGGGAAAACCGCGTAGTCATGATACTGCTAGCAATGAAAGCCCTCGACCTGCGCCTGTCTTGGTATCTAGTAGTTATCACTATTTTATAGTTTACTTCAATAGAATCTAATAAAAAGGTGAGAAAGTTATTGGAATTATCACAGAAACATTTTTAAATGAAATTAGTAACAAATCGACACATTCAATCTATTAATCGTTATTTTATGTATTTTGCTGTTGGACATCAATAGACTGTCTTATAGTCGAGTCAGTTATTCGTTCGGTTTCGTTTTTACTAAGTTTTATTGAAACAGGATACTCATTTTGTGTATCTACACTATTTATATACATACATACATATCTGTCACGCCTGTCTCCCATTAGGGTAGGCAGAAACAATGGAACGCCAAATGCTACACTATTTATGTTTTTGTAAATGGCAATATACTCGTATTACGAGTGAAGTTCTAATTACTGGCTGATCTTGACTGGATTCCCGGACGTTCGTGGCCGATTTATCATCGAAATAGAAATATCATTTTTGGCCAGTTGATTAACGCAATTAGGCTTTGGTGCTGTTTCAAGAAACGCTGCTGCGTATCCCTCGATTATTAAGTTCTCTTAGTCGCCTCTTACGACACCCACGGGAAAGGACGGGGGGAAAGGATAGCATATTCTATGTCACCCGCGGGAAAGGTTGGGGTGGCACATTCTATGCCAGGACTATGTGGTAAGGAGCTATTTATTAATACTTTATTGATGCATGTTTAATTGACGGTATGGTACGATTGTTTACAGCTGTATCGCGCAACGCACCGACTGTTATTACTGGGCGCCGGCGAGTCCGGCAAGTCGACGATCGTCAAGCAGATGCGGATTCTGCACGTGAACGGCTTCTCGGACAAGGAGCGCCGGGAGAAGATCGAGGACATCAAGAAGAATATTCGAGATGCGATACTAGTAAGTATATCTGTCTATTTTCACGCCAAATCCCTTGCGAGCTAGGCAGAGATCCAAGTACCAATGGCCTAAATTTGTATGTTTTGCTTCATGCAATTTCCTATGACGTTTCATACATACTCCTAAGTTCCGGAGTTTCTTGACTCCTTTCTCATATCGGACATTGTCATTCAAGTTAGGTGATCAAACACGGGTTTTTTAATGACCTTGTAATTTTAACATAGTACATAAATATATGCGTACTTATATATACGTTTACAGAGATTTAAAAGAGTTAAGTGTTGAGTTCTTTGTGGACTCTTCTCAAGAGATAACTTTTCGAACTTTACTGTAGATTCATAAAAAAATGACAATTTAAAAATGCTTGTAAACAAGTGTATATGAATGAAGGTGATCTGAATTTGAATTAAAATGTTCATGGTACTGCTCATGTCTATAGGCGACGGTTACCACTTTCCATCAGGTGGGCCGTCAGCTTGTTTGCCATTCTAAGTTGCATAAAAAAAATGCCTAGACAATGGCGGACCGGCATAAACGTGGCGGGTACACCGTCCATATTAATACAGCGCAACGATCACCATACTATCCTGCAAATTTTTATCATCATCGCGCAGTTGAGACGCCCTCTGTGTGACACTATATTACTACAAGATTGTCCTATTTTTGCTCTGTAAATTTAATTATATCTATTTAAGAAAAACTAAAGCCGATAAATATATTAAAATATTTTAACTGCACCAACTGGAGTATTTATTAATGTTGTATCAAACAAGTAAAACTATATGTATTGTCTTGTCTTGTGTTTCAGACAATCACGGGTGCAATGAGCACCCTGACCCCTCCTATTCCACTTGAAAAGCCGGAGAACAAGGCGCGCGTGGATTATATACAGGTAACAACATTCATAACATGTTCCATTTTAACTAGATATTATCGAGTTTATCTTTAGCTGTACGGTTTTTACCCTTAAACATTCTAGAATTTTCTTTCAGTTTCCTAAAGGTTTCTAAAACACCCCTTTATATAGGGATAAGTTCGCTATTATATTTTAAATCTTTTATTGTATCCAATTTATATTATGTACATTAAAGATTTTACAATACAATACAGTATAATAAATGCAGTTCAATAACCGATCTATCAGAGGGAGACATTTGTACAAATGTCGTCAGTACATGTACTTTATTCCACTTCGTGTTTCTATCGTAAAGCAGCTCTGCTTGCGTGACTGTGTTTCGGTTTGAGCAGTGGGATAAAGCAATGAACAGTGAGGAGGCATCCTAGTTCTGAAGAATGGCAACGCATGTGTGGTACCGTGGGCATCATAGTTCATTCTGTGATGCCCACGCGTGCACATTGTTATGTTATTTGACAGTATTTTGTCACTTTCCGTCACGTGGGCCGTCAATGTGTTTTCCATTCAATCTCTTACAGATTGTTCAACTTCTCTTACACCACACACTAAATTCCATACATTATTTCCAATTTCTTAACTGTGATTTTTTAAACTGTAATTCGATATTGGGGCCGATTCTGAGGTATTGTTTCTCTAATTCTATCTTTGTGTATATATAAAATTATATAAAACATATATATATATATATATTTGTTAATTTATATATATTATATATAATATATATTATATGTTAATATGACAATTAGCTAACTCGTTTTATTTATTGACTATTCAATAAATAAAATGAATATTTATGCATTAAAAAGAATTAAAAATTTATAAGACAAAATAAATATAGAAGTTATAAAGGAGTAAATAATTATGAGTGCATAATTATTTATCATGCAAAATTGTATGAAAAAGTTGACCCGTTTTTCTCGAAGCATTTCTATGGAGACGCTCTATCTATATAATGTACGTATATAGTATAAATACATGTATATATAGCATATTTATAAATATTACTTCGTTTGTTATGTATTTTGTGATGATAAATCTTCCATACTTAGGTATGTACTTATAAATAATCAGACAGTCAACTTCAGAGTCCTATATCTAATTCGTTATCAACACCTAATGTATTTAGAATATCAATAATTAATCATAATGATTGTTAATTTAAAAAAAAATATTCCCGCTAATTTTACGATTTGTTTTGTCAATCTATCACGACTTTTTGTACTGAATAAAGTACAATGACAATAAAAATTTTATGTCAACATAAACAATGCTCGTAGACAGTTTTGTAGATAATAACTTTATCTAATTAGACACATTCACTCCGCTAAAATTAAGCTATTCCAATCGTGAACGACGAGGTATTTCGTAAACATTTAAAATGTATTTGAATTTAGAACGCGTAAATTTTGCTTAGCAATAAACAATTTTTTTTGTCGAGCAAAGAAATACGACAGCTTTGATCCTTACAAAACTACTATCTACCTTTCAATCAGAAATAAAATTATGGAAATGGTTCAGAATTGGCAAGGAGATCATATTACAAATCACAAAAAAAAAAAATTAGGCATAGTGACTAAGGGTGGGTAATATTTGCAATATTTGTATATTGTAGTTACAATATCTATATGTAAATTGGCTCGATAACAGATATATTAGATATCGGTTAACGAATATATAATATCGAAAAGATGAACCCGTTCCTAATGAATATAGATATCCGACTGGTATGGACGATATTCTAATGGCTGGTCAACAATGTTCAGAACAATTATACAGATATCGGATATTAACCAACTCTACGAGTTCGAGAATATATAAATACCGTATATTACACATTTCTAATACTGACAACCTCTTATGGAATTAGGCATGCGTAATACCGCTACCGCTTCGATATCGATATATTGGGTTCCACTGGATTTTGATAGCGGTAACTTCATCATATCAATATATATGTATATACCGGTAGGATATCTATATATTCATTGCGATCGTGCTGTTCATTTAGATATTACATATTGAATAACCGATATTTAGTATATCCGTTATTGGGCCAATATATAGATATTGTAACTACAATATGTAATATTGCTATATATTGTTCGCCCCTGTTTAGATGTAGCTTAAAAAATAAGTATAACAATACAATACACGTGCTCTCAATGTATTTAAAGCCGTTTTAAAAGTACAGGTCTTGAATTCCCAGACTGCTCAAATAATGTTAATATCTCTCTGGTCATAAAAATGTATATAGACATACCACAAAAAATTGAACCTTATACCCGAGCCCAATAAACAAGAGTTCATACACCGCAAGTGAAGATAGTGTAGTGTCATGATAAATGTCTACTAACAACCATATCGTTGCAATTTAGTTTATTAAGAGTGCATCCATGTTTTAACCGACTTAAAAAAAAAAGGTTCTCAATTCGACTGTACTGTATTTTTTATATTTGATTATCTAGTAAATCCATCAATTATAAACCGATTTGGTATTTTTTTTTTCATCTGAAAGAATATACTTACAGATTGGCACTACAAAAATTTGTCCCATTTGTGTTTCAACCGTAAAGCAGTTGTGTTTGCATGGCTGTGTTTCGGTTTGAAGGGTGGGATATGAATTGAATTTACTGGGTACAGAGGAATAACATCTGAGTCCTCAGGAATGGCAACGCATGGGGGGTATCATGGGCGAAACATTATACTCTGTTATGTCCATGGTACTGCTCATGTCTGTAGGCGACGTTTTCCACTTTCCATCAGGTGGGCCGTCAGCTTGTTTGCCATTCTAAGATGTATAAAAAAAACTAGAAAAATTGAGAATTTATCAATTCTTTATGAAAATTGACAACTCTGATATTGCCACATTTCGGTCGTTTTAGGTTTCGGTATTAGTTAGTTTGGTAGGTTTCAGTAGATGTTCGGTAGTTCGATTTGAACATAACTCATTTATATCAATAAAAAAATTGTACATAACTTATTTACTTTGCTTCTCCTCATGTTTATACCGCTAAATAGCTGTGCTTTAATGGCTTAATTTCAGTTTAAAGGATGCCATATGGCAATGAAATTGCATGCTACAGAGATATTACGTCTTGGCTTATACGAGTACGAATGGCAACACATGAAATACCATGTGTTGCCATTATAAATACACTCTATAGTGTATTTATTTTTTGACATCCATGGAACTGTCATGTCTATAAAGGATTATTTATAATAATTTTAAATTGTGTTTTACAAGAAGACTTCAATTATGGCAAATTATTTATTTTGATTTATAAACTAAATTGCTAAACCGATTTTGATGACATTTCTATAGGCCTAATCTGCAAGTATATCCTTTCAGATAAAAAAGATTTTTCCAAATTGATTAAATTAAATTAGTTTACAACTGACGAAGTTATATGGTAACAACCAAAACAACCGAATTAGGAACGTTCTTTTTGAAGTTAGTTGAAAATAGGCAATATGTTTTTTACACAATACTTTAATTTTAAAACCTTATTCCCCCATTTATAACATATATGATGTATGGTTCGAATTCTAATTATTGCCTACGATTATTTTGACTAAACTATATTGTATTTACCAAACAACATTCTTCATTCTGAGTAATCCTCTAGGTCAGTGTTCCGAGATGGTTTACAGATAAAACGGTCACTCAGTGTGTCGGTGTGTCACGGTCGAATGAATCATTCGGTGTACGTAAATATTTCTATTTAAAAAATAGCATGTAACCATTAAAGAATGAGCGGGCTTTTGGATTGTGTTTAAGTCCAGGTCGGTTGAAGTTATTTTGTTTACTTTCGTGTACCGTAGACGTGCAGTCTGGACGCGGAACGTTTAATGTTAGTCCGTAGCCTACGTTCGATTAATTGCCTGACGATTGCTCATTTATTTTTGTGAACGTTTTTTTATACAACTTAGAATGGCAAACAAGCTAACGGACAACCTGATGGAAAGTGGTAACCGTTGCTTATAGACATGAGCACCATGAGTACCATGCACATAATATAGTATACCTACAGTTATTATTGAAAAAGTTTTTTTTTTAGGAAAAAAGAGTAACACTACGACCTTCCCATAATCTTTTGAGCTTTTCCTTTTTTTTTAAAGTTTTCTGCTAAAAACATCTTAAAACTCCTATCAGTGATATGAATTTTAAGATGTTTTTTGTAGCGTTGTTTTTTTTTTATCTCCTCAGGATAATAAAGTGTATTTTCCAAATGAGATATCGTTCATGTATGAGTGAGCTACAGCCACAAATTAAGTGCTACGGCGTTTGTTCCTCATTGTGACACAAACTGCAAACACTTTTTGAGCGTAAACCTAATAAGGTTATATGCTTGTTTGAACGTACAGTTTTTTTTTTTTTATACAACTTAGAACGGCAAACAAGCTGACGGCCCACCTGATGGAAAGTGGTAACCGTCGCCTATCGACATGAGCAGTACCGTGGACATAACAGAGTATACTGTTTCGCTCATGATACCTACCATGCGTTGCCATTCCTGAGGACTCAGGTGTTATTCCTCTGTACCCAGTAAATTCACGCCATATCCCACCTTTCAAACCGAAACACAGCCATGCAAACACAACTGCTTCACGTTTGAAACACGAATGGGACAGAGGTACCCAAGCAATCGATTTTTGTACAAAGTCGATGTCGAACTCAAAGACCATTAAGATTTTTTAAACCTATATCTGTGGTCCACATCACGACCATAAAGTCACCTTATCTTACCTTATTGCTAGCAATGAGACTGGTAGTCCGCATTGCTAATAACCCCCCTTCAGTTTTTATGTTTTACATTTTTGTTGTTTACTTTTTTATATATATTTTTATTAAAGAAACTTGAAGAACAATAGTAAATGTTGAGCTTCCTAATTTACTTCGACAACTGGATGTGTCAGTAAGGAAGGCTCAAAATTTGTATTATCTCACTAATAAATTTCTATTCTTTTTGGTATATCATGTCTATGGTAATAGTTAATATTTACAATATCTATGGCAAAGTCTTTTAAGGTTGTACTGACTAAATGTAATATTGCAACTGTGTGATGGTAGGATGTAGCGTCGCAGCCCGACTTCGACTACCCGGCAGAGTTCTACGAGCACACGGAGGCGCTGTGGAAGGACCAGGGCGTCCAGCGCACGTACGAGCGGAGCAACGAGTACCAGCTCATCGACTGTGCCAAGTAGTATGTACACACTTTGATGATCCTTCAAAAAGATGCCACGGTTAAACTAATTAAACTTAAAACGATAGAAGGAGACTTTGTATAAAAGTCGTCTCCTTAGATACATCTGTACTACTGGCGGCATAGGCCAGACATTTATATTTATAATAATCTATATCTATTCTATACTTTTAATAAATCTGTAGAGAGGTCAATTCTGTACATGAAATATATTTCCAAAATAACTATCAGGGGATGATTGGTGATCGATACTGATGCCAAAAATGCAATCAGTAAAATTTTTGTATGTTTGTTATAGAAATAAAAACTACTCGATGGATTTTAACGAAACTTGGTACAATTATTCTTTATACTCCTGGGCAGGTTAAAGTATACTTTTCATCACGCTACAATCAATAGGAGCAGAGCAGTGAAGGGAAATGTCGGGAATACGGGAGAAGTTACTCCAGTTTTAAGCTTCCGTCGCGTGTGTAGCCTTAATGGCCACTTTTTTAAATATAAAAATGTCCACCCGTGAGACGCTGGGACGGGCCGCTAGTATATAATAATATTTTTTTATTTCAGACTACTACTTTCATTTTGTTAGTAACAATTCCCTTACAAACTAAAAAAAAAATTACATACAACTAAAGCAATTCACTCAGATGTGACCCAGTCGTCTAGATCAGCATCTGAATGAAATGCCTAATTATACGTGAGTTATATTTCTCGCCTATTACTTTCAGAATGCTGTTAGTGCTTGTCCTAACCCTGTGTAGTGTAGGGATTCTGAGTAATACGGACTACTATTTTTTTTATACAACTTAGAATGGCAAACAAGCTGACGGCCCACCTGATGGAAAGTGGTAACCGTCGCCTATAGACATGAGCAGTACCATGGACATAACAGAGTATACTGTTTCGCCCATAATCCCCCCCCCGCCCCCCTTGCGTTGTCATTCCTGAGGACTGAGGTGTTATTCCTCTGTACCCAGTAAATTCACGCCATATCCCACCCTTCAAACCGAAACACAGCCATGCAAATATAACTGCTTCACGGTAGAAACACGAATGGGACAGAGGTACCCAAGCAATCGACTTTTGTACAAAGTCTTCCTCTGGTAAAATTACTAGTCTCATTACTGTCAGGTCGACCTCCATGCGGTCCCCTCTGGATACCATCATGCTGAAACCGGGTGTATTTATCACGATAGGTTAACTCACCTGCCTTTTCATTCTCACCTGTCATCCCTCAATGGTGCCCCACCGGTGTATTCCGTTAGCGTGGGCGAGGTTGCTATTTCTTTATCAACCATTAAAAAACTCTGTTTAGCAATGATGTAATTCTTTTTCTCCTTATAGCGTAGTAATCAATCTACGCGAGATTAAACAAATATGCTAGAGGCGCTACAAAAACCCAACAGCACTCTGAAAGCCTCCTATTTTCAGATAGCCTCCATATTTTATTAATGTTTTGCCAATAATTTATATTATGATTAATATGCAATGTCCATTTGCAGTTTCCTGGACCAGGTGCACATAATAAAGCAGCCGAACTACACTCCGACGGAGCAGGACATACTCCGCTGCCGAGTGCTCACCTCCGGCATATTTGAGACGCAGTTCGTCGTCGACAAAGTCAATTTCCAGTGAGTACATAAATACAATACCTTTGTTATGATAAATTAATAGAATTACAATGTATCATATGTAGCTATAATCTGTCTCAATAGAAATATAATGAAAGAGCGATTAAGTTTTAATTAAATTTTACAGATAATCGAAGTGAAATAGTAACCAATCGAAACATTCAATCTGTTAATGATTTGTTTCTAATATTACTAATGATTTATTCAATCTATTAATGATTTATTGTACTATAGGACATCATCAGGTTATCTTCTGGTCGAGACAATTATTCGTCTTTATTTAAAATTTCATTATGTTCTATTCAAACAAATTATAACTTCTCGCGGTCAAACGTCGCTATTACGAAGGACAGAAATATGAAGTAATCGAAGTGTGAAAGAGAGAGAGATAATTTTTGAGACCACTCTCGAACGTGCAGACTACGAACGATTCGTTTATCACTTGTCTAAAGAAGCAATTAAAAAAAAAAACAGAAATTTCGTAAATGGTAAAATATGAAGGAATTATTAATTGTAGTTTCTTTTTGTTCTTTTATTATTTTAAATCGCTACTTCTTAAAAGTTTATTTAAAAAATACAGAAAACTGTCGCTGTTTATCGAATGGCAAACGAGCTTTTCGATACATAAGTTTTCGTTGCCGCACGCATGAGATAGAGTAAGACAGCAAACTCCGGCATCTTGTTATTTCTCAAGAAAGCGTATCTACCGGTGTATTCGTTTGCCACCAATCAGGGATACGGGGGGGGGGGGGGGGCGTAAAATTATCACGCACACGTAGTTTGATTGCGGTGTGATCGCCTTACTTATCTATTAGAGCGTGCGGAGTCCATCTTTTTTTTTGTCATGCATTATTTATGTAATTAAAACATACAGCAATTAACAACAAAATCAGGTTTCTTAAAAGCTTTTAACCTTACGCGTTTATTACACTTTCAACTTTATAAGGTCGTAAATAAATCAATTTATACTAACTTTCAATCTACTTAAATATTTATTTATTTATTTATTTATTTATTTATTTATTTATTTATTTATTTATTTATTTATTTATTTATTTATTTATTATTTATAACACTTTATTGCACCAACATAACATGATTTGTTAAAACAATTATCAATACGTATAGTGTAGTACAAAAGGCGGTCTTATTGCTAAGCAATCTCTTCCAGACAACCTTTGGGTAGAAAGGATTAAAGCATAAGTAGGTAGGTGGCGCGTTAAAAAAGATAGATTTGTAAAAAATAATATTTGTGACAGCATAGTCATATACATATACATACATAAATAAACACATACAACCAAACATATACATATATATACATACACATACACATATAAATATATATACATACATATACATATATACGTAAATACATACAAATATACCATATTAATACACATATATATAACACACATAAAACTGGAAATACGTAGGACTAAGTGATTATAAGGATAGGTAGTGGGCTTTAACTAAGTTTTTAAAAATGGGCAACGATTGAGCGCACCGTATAGAGGTAGGGAGTGAGTTCCACAAACGAACTGCTTGCACGGAAAAGGATTTGGAGTAGAAAGAGGAAGAATGGGTAGGAATTATGAGTTGGAGGTTGTCAGTACTACGTAAAGAATAAGAATTAGAATTTTTAATATTTTGTATTGTTTCAAAATAATTATAATCTATATTTTTTTTTTATACTTAGCACAGGTAGTAAATATTATGCAATTTTTTTTGTCAAATAACGGTACGTAAATAAATAACATAAATAAAAGTGTTTACATTAAATTGTTATTTATAATATTCCCAATTCAGTTATATTTAAAATGATAAATTGTGAAAACGATACCCCTGGTTTGTTTACCAAATTGTATTGTATTCTAAAATTTTTATTGTACCTAATTTACATTGGACATATTAAAAGATTTAATACTAAATATGCCAAGTACAAGAAACTAATTATGGTAATTAGTATTTTTACCATGAATTTCTTAAATATTAAGTTTTCAATTCGCCTTTTTTTATATTGTCCAGTTTTAATTTGATTTTCTTAGTTCTTGTCAATTAAAAAAAAATTGTTTACTTTTCTTTTTTTTTTAATTTTTTTTTTCCTATTTATATCTACTCTCGTATCGTTTAGCAGTACAGATAATGGTTGATATGATGACGATAATGATGATGATGATGTAATATTATATATGATCATTTTAAAGTGTAATCACTGCCTTAGTGAATTGTTAGTTACAAAAAGATCATGTTTACACTAACAAGGTTGGTGTTATCACCTCATTACAGTTGGTTTTATGTTTGATCAAAACTAGTTTTTTTTTTTATTGTTCCAATGGGTGTTATCTATGTCTTAAATGTCACTGTTTTGTCTCAAATGGATGGTAACGAATCTCTTCTCGGATGGGGAGTCTTCCTACATTGAGATAAACGGATCAATTAGCCCAGTTTTTGTAATATACAATGCATTAGTAACAATTAACTAATTAATTAATTAACCAAATTTTCCTTTAAAAGTCTCTTCGAGAACATTACTTCAATTTATCACAACAATGAAAAGCCTTAATCTGTTATATAATAAGTTATTATTTATGTATTTATTAATTTAGTATATACTATGTATGGTTATTTATATATATATTGTATGTGATTTATGTGTGTATATTTTTTGTGAGTATATTATTCTATATGTTTGTATGTTTATTTATTATACATTGTTATCTCTTAAAATATTTATTTAATTTACTATTGTTTTTTAAATCTATGCACCGCCATCTGCTCTCTCTGTTTGGCGTGGTGGTTGACTGGTAGAGAATGCCATCAGGCATTAAGTCTGCCCTGTAGACGTTTTTCAATGTGTGCAAAAGTTTAAATAAATAAATCAAATTAATCTGTACAACATTAAGATTGCCAGAGAGAGACTTTATATGAAGGTTGTCTGCCTCTTTAGTAATAGAAGTAGCCGCCGTATGGTCCCGGCATAGAATAGGCCACCCCTTCCTTCCCCCATGGGTGTCGTATGAGGCGACGAAGTGAGGGCGAGGAATGAGCAGCAGCGTCCCTTTTAAAATATCTCTAAAGCCTGCGGTTGACAATCCGCTTGCTAAGCGTGGCAATTACTGGCAAAACCCCCCCAAGGGGGAGGGGTATGTTCAGCAGTGGACAGTTAAAGGCTGATATGATGATGATGTCTGCCTGTTTCCCACTCGTGTAACTGACTTGAAGCAGTTGTGTTTGCATGGCTGTGTTTCGGTTTAAAGGGTGGGATAAGGCAGTGAAATTAAAATGTACTGAACACATCTTTATGAATATACACTCCTCGCAAAAATTAAGGGAACATAAAAATTTTTGAAATTTTTGGGTGATTTTCAACAGGCTGTATTTCAGTGAAAAATAATCGTACAGGAAATTTAAAAAAAGGGTTTTGAAGCTTGAAAACTCTAGTTTTCAGATTTTTTGGTAAAAAAATTTTTTGAGCTCCGGTTTCCATGCAATTCTTAAACAAAGCTGAAAATAAATTTTTTCTAAATTTTCTAGGTTTTGTTTTTCACTCTATGGGCATGGAAAAATTTTTTCGAGCTACTCCATTGTATAGGTCTCTTAGCGTGTTTATTCAGCTTCAAAAATCGCTTTGGATGGCTCAATTACGACCATTTGTCTCCGAGATATCGAACTTTGAATGCAAAAGCATCCTTTTCCATTCAACTGCTAATATCTCTGGAACTACTGGTCGCACAGCAAGCGGGCGCCGAGTTTCTTTATCTGCATAAAATTTCCAATTAAGCACAGTCAAGAGTTAGTGAAGAAAAAAATTTTTTCCACCTCTAACATTGAATTGAAAAAAGTGGAAAAAAGTGACTTTTTCTCCTTTTTTGGTTACTTGGCTGTATCTTCGCTAATATGGGCGGGAAAGCTAAGGTTTAAGGAAAATTTTACAGTCTATTGTTCCTTAAAGAACCCCCTAAATCCCTGGAGCGATCGGTTCAACGGTTTTTCCCGGACCAATTGATTGAAATTTTGGAAAAAATAAGGGAACAAGGTTTTTGTCCCTTAAACTCACCCTAATCCATTCAAAAATCAATAATTTCATTTGTTTTTCACTTTTTACTCAATTTTTTGTTTTTTAAAAATTCATTATCAAAAAAAAAATCGAAAAAAATCAAGAAAATTTTTAAGAAAAATTTTTTTTTGAAAAGTCGAAAAAAGTTTACAAAAAATTTTTTTTTCGTTTTTAAGGAAATCAAAGTTTTTGACAAAAACTTTGATTGATGATCGATTTACCGCCGGCATTAGCGTTACCCAAAGCATACTACGTGGAGGTTGCACGGTCGGATTTACGCTTCTTTTGTGCTTACGCACGTGTTTATGATATGGGATTCTTCAGAAAAAATGAGACCCTGTGGTTCGTCAGCTCCGCAGTATTTCGTGACTCCAAACTCATTTTCTGAAGAGTGTGTGTGTTAGTGTTGTGTAAGTAATTTTTAGAAGAAATGAGACCCCGTGGTTCGTCAGCTCCGCAGTATTTAATGACTCCAAACTCATTTTCTAAAGTGTGTGTGTGTGTGTTTCTCCACGTGGTATGCTTTGGGTAACGCTAATGCCGGCGGTAAATCGATCATCAATCAAAGTTTTTGTCAAAAACTTTGATTTCCTTAAAAACGAAAAAAAAATTTTTGTTAACTTTTTTCGACTTTTCAAAAAAAATTTTTTCTTAAAAATTTTCTTGATTTTTTTCGATTTTTTTTTTGATAATGAATTTTTAAAAAACAAAAAATTGAGTAAAAAGTGAAAAACAAATGAAATTATTGATTTTTGAATGGATTAGGGTGAGTTTAAGGGACAAAAACCTTGTTCCCTTATTTTTTCCAAAATTTCAATCAATTGGTCCGAGAAAAACCGTTGAACCGATCGCTCCAGGGATTTAGGGGGTTCTTTAAGGAACAATAGACTGTAAAATTTTCTTCAAACCTTAGCTTTCCCGCCCATATTAGCGAAGATACAGCCAAGTAACCAAAAAAGGAGAAAAAGTCACTTTTTTCCACTTTTTTCAATTCAATGTTAGAGGTGGAAAAAAATTTTTTCTTCACTAACTCTTGACTGTGCTTAATTGGAAATTTTATGCAAATAAAGAAACTCGGCGCCCGCTTGCTGTGCGACCAGTAGTTCCAGAGATATTAGCAGTTGAATGGAAAAGGATGCTTTTGCATTCAAAGTTCGATATCTCGGAGACAAATGGTCGTAATTGAGCCATCCAAAGCGATTTTTGAAGCTGAATAAACACGCTAAGAGACCTATACAATGGAGTAGCTCGAAAAAAATTTTCCATGCCCATAGAGTGAAAAACAAAACCTAGAAAATTTAGAAAAAAATTATTTTCAGCTTTGTTTAAGAATTGCATGGAAACCGGAGCTCAAAAAATTTTTTTACCAAAAAATCTGAAAACTAGAGTTTTCAAGCTTCAAAACCCTTTTTTTAAATTTCCTGTACGATTATTTTTCACTGAAATACAGCCTGTTGAAAATCACCCAAAAATTTCAAAAATTTTTATGTTCCCTTAATTTTTGCGAGGAGTGTATATTTATAATTTTTTTTTAATACTAATTCTTTATTTGGAACAAAAGCATTTGTTGCAATGTTGTTGAAAAATGATAAAATCTGCAAAAGTACAAAACTATGTTGCGAATACCAACACCTTCCTTATAGCCTATCTATATAATATTATTATAATATCTTTATTTTCCATAGATTACAAGATTAATTTTATATAATATTCCTTCTCCACCATATTTCATTTATTTCGATCTGTAACAGTATCCATCCAATTTTCTCCTGTTATTTTTATGATTTTGTCAACATCTCGTTTTCTTTGTTTTCCAACACATCTTCTACTTGTAGGATCCAGTCATTTTGTTATTTAATGGGTACCTGGTGCCTAGCTAATATACCCTACCCATCTCCTTTTCTGTTTTAGGCTATACTGGAGAGCATCACTTGTCTTGGTTTTCTCACCCCTTTTATATAAGCTTACATTACCAATCCTTTTTTTTATGCAACTTAGAATAACAGTCAAGATAACGGTCCATCTGGTGGAAAGTGGTAACTGTTGCCTACAGACATGAGCAGCACCATGGACATAACAGAGTATACTGTTTCGCCCATGATACCCCCCACGCGTTGCCATTCAATACTCAGGTGTTATTCCTCTGTACCATGTAAATTCATTGCAAATCTATTGCAAGTCTTTTTTTTTTTTTGTTAATACTGTACGTTGTAAATGCAATCGCAGCATGTTCGACGTGGGCGGGCAACGCGACGAGAGGCGCAAGTGGATCCAATGCTTCAACGATGTAACGGCGATCATCTTCGTGACCGCGTGCTCCTCCTACAACATGGTGCTCCGCGAGGACCCCACGCAGAACCGCCTGCGGGAGTCGCTCGATCTATTCAAGAGCATATGGAATAATAGGTAGTCAATGTTTCTCGCTCACTTCATATGAATTAACGGATAAACATAAATACAAACAATTATTATTCAGTAGTAATTGTTTTTTAATCTGCCCAGTTTGGAATGTAATTTCAGTTGAGAAGAATATGCAAGAATTAAATTGAATTGTTTTTTAAACCAAAATTGAGTTTACAAGTTTGTGTTGTAAACCAAAATTAAGTTTTAGATTCTTCCCTTTTGCAATAGATAATAAATGTCATACAATCGCATTAATCGTTTGGTTCTCAAATTAGGATACCCTGATTAGGATTGTGAGAAATCAGGCAACGAATATCTAGGAGTAACAGGCTTTTGCTTTCGCAGCATCAGTATCCAGATTCTACTCTTAGTAGAGTTCGTTTTCTAAATTGGTCCGAACAAGTTTAAACTGGGATTTGATATTAGGATCTCCGGACCGCTGTCAAGGGCCGTCCAACTGACCTATCACTGCTTTATTATTTTATGTTTTAGATTATACAGATAGAGCTTGGAGTCTCAAAAACGGGTCAACTTTTTGTTACTCACCGACTTGTTTTTTTTTATCAATATTCTATATACTTACGCATATAATTTATCTTGACGTATCTATATTTAATTATTGAATAAATAAAATGAATTTTTACTCATTAAAAAGATGCAAAAATTATAAGATAAATATATAAGTTATAAAGGAAACACTCATAACTATTTATCACGCAAAATTGTGTGAAAAAGTTGACCCGCTTTTTTTTTTGAAGCATTTGTATGGAGACAGTCTATCTATATAATCTAAATTTTATATAAATAATGTCCATGTGTATATAAACTACCGTTACCATATACCATCAGCCTGTGTACCGTGCCAAGTCGCATTACATGGTCCATGTATTCAATTGCAGATGGCTCCGCACGATATCGGTGATCCTGTTCCTGAACAAACAGGATTTGCTGGCGGAGAAGGTGATGGCGGGGAAGTCGCGGCTGGAGGAGTATTTCGCGGAGTTCGCGCGCTACCAGACGCCGCCCGACGCAGCGCCCGACCCGCGCGACCCGCCCGACGTCGCGCGCGCCAAGTATTTCATCCGCGATGAGTTCCTGGTACGATGCCACACCTCGTTTATTTATTTAACTTTTTGTTGTACAGCCGTTAACCCTTTTACTGGCGGTGGCAATATGTGTGCCACCAACATTTTTATGATTTTTTCCACTTTGTAGCACCAATACCATACTGGTGTTGGCAAGGATATTGCCACCATGTTTTTTTCTTCCACTAAATATGAATGTTTTTTTTTTCTTTAATAAAAGCTATTAAAGTAACCCACAAAAAACCCAAAAAATGAGTTTTTAATTTTCCGAGACACAAAATTGCTTCTACCAGTTAAAGGGTTAACTGTCCACTGCTGAACATAGCCTTCTCCATAAGGAGGGTTTTGTCAGTTGTTGCTACGCTTGGCAGGCGTGTTGACAACCGCAGTTTTTGCTTTTGGTGATGTTTTAAGAGATATGCTGCTGCCCATCCCTCCACCATAAACTCTCTTAGTCACCCCTTACGACATCCGCGGGAAAGGAAGTATTTAACTCTTTATTGCACTAAAAATATAAAAATAAACAACGACAGTTAAGAAATTTAAATGAAATACAGTTTCATAAAGTGTAGGTGAAAATATATTTATAAAAATACAAAAGACGGTCTTATCGTTAGAGCAATCTTTTACAGACAACTTTTGTTTAACGAAGAATAGATAGAAGTGGGTACACCCACCCACCTGCTCCACCGAGCAAGAGAGAATTAATAATTTTTACGTGCATAAAATACAAAAATCTTTACTACATAATAATATCGAATACATACTATTAATTAAACTATTTATAACATATAATACATATATAAATGTCATTCATGTTTCTACCGTGAAGCAGTTGTGTTTGCATGGCTGTTTCGGTTTGAAGGGTTGGATATATCAGTGAATTTACAGGGTACAGAAGAATAACACCTTAGTCTTCAGGAATGGCTTATTTTCCATCAGATGGCCCGTCTGCTTGTTTGCCGTTCTAAGTTGCATAAAAAAATAAGTAAAAATGTATATAGCACACACAAGAAAATATGAAGAATCTACAATTACTACTAATAATCCATTCCCCCTCCATCATGGGGTAGTTGGAACCTTTCAATGTGTGAAATATTCATTTATTAACATAAAAACTGTTGTTATCACAGCGCATCAGTACGGCGAGCGGCGACGGGAAGCACTACTGCTATCCGCACTTCACGTGCGCCGTTGACACTGAGAACATCAAGCGCGTGTTCAACGACTGCCGCGACATCATACAGCGCATGCACTTGCGCCAGTACGAGCTACTCTAACGCTCGTACTCACGCCACTACGCACCACCGGTACGTACGCACTTACATTACGTCACTACGCACTTACCGGTACGTACGCACTTACATTACCTCACTACGCGTTTACTAGTGTGTACACACTTACATCACCCACTATACACTACCGGTATGTACACAGTTACATTACCTCACTACACACTATTGGTACGTACACACTTACATTTTTTTTTTATTGGGTGAAAAAGGTATGGTAACCCCGCCTGCGCTAACGGGATACGCTGGCGGAGCACCAGTGAAGGTTGATAGATGAGAATGAAAACAGGCCAGTTAGTCCATCATGATGAATTTATCAGGAATTAACCATTATAGTTTCCAGGGAGAACCGCGAGGAGGTCGACCTGGTTGGGTATATTGCTAGTAATAGGATTCTCAGTCTCCATTACTAACAATCCCTTTCCCCCTGTGTGGGGGAAAGGGATTGTTAGTTACTTACATTATCTTAAAACACACTACCAGTACGTACGCACTTACATAACCTCACTATACACTACCAGTACATACTGTTATAAAACAAAAGGTGAATGTGATTTTAAAGAGAAAACTTTATTTGATTACCTATTTATTAAATTTTTATTTAAGTACACAGTGCGCTAGACGACAGATGGAGCTGAACCGCTTGGCATAATCTCACAGGTAGACCACACGTGGTCTTGGGAACAATCATTATTGCCTAATCAACATAAAAGGAACAGCAATGCGCAAACACGTTCTATGAAATGGTATAACAGTATACATGCACTCAGGCCACCAGGCGCTACCGGTACTAATACATTTACACTAACATTTGCACTCACACATAATGGTTAATTGTGTATTTTTATAACATAATGCCTTTTAGAACTGAAATAACACTAAATAGTCCCTTTTAGAAACAATCTAAATACGAACAATGTATTTGCAGACAAAGTCAGGAGAAGCGCATAACGAGCACCGCCGGCGGCGGTTCCCGACCTCAACCATATGACACCAATGTCCGAACACGGCACAGCAATATTTACACATGAATTATATTTGTTGTTGTATACATTACATGTATTACTAATGTGTTATATTTAGGGGTCTAGGACGCGCCAGTATGCTGTCAGAGTGGTACTAAGTGTAGAGTGCAAGCTTCGGTCAGTGCTTGATTTGAAATGTGATATTCGTCACAGAAACATGTACAACATAGACAAAATGTACACTTTATAATTTGATGGATTTATTTACTGTTGTCCACAGAGTTCTTATAATTTGATGGATTTATTTACTGTTGTCCACAGCGTTCTTATTTAATAAATAGATAATAAATAATCATGATAATAATATTTATATTGTCTAAATAATTTTTATTTCTTAAAAGAAATTACTATTGAAAATATTATAACAACGCCATCTAGTATCAAATTAAGGAAAGCTTGTACTATAGGTACTACAATTTATTTTTTCGTAACACATATATCACATACGTGTAATATATAGAAAACACCCAGAATAAACAAATATTATGCATGTTTGTATTGTGTGGGCATTGATCCTGTAACTATTGGAAGGTTAATCATGTTACTGTACAATGACTTAAATTGAGTACTGGCCGAAAAGAATCTGTAACATACAGGCCTCACTTACGTCAGGTACGACAGTGATGGTCACTGTAAGGGGTATCTTTTGACATTCAGGTGACAAAGTTGCGACCTTTTCACCAGTACCACGTTGAAAAAAATTTTGCCACAGTGTTGACATGTTTTTATATTATATCTTTGACATTTTTTTGTTTATATTTTATGTAAGAGTGTGTGTATTTGAAAATATGTTTTAAAAAGTTACACCTAAGTCACATACAGCTAATAATAAGTATATGAATATGTATACCATTCAAAGTTTTGAGAATGATTAATTTGCAAATCATTTATAGTTGTACAATATTTAATTTTTTATTTTAAACATTTTGAAGTAACTTATGATAATTTATATTATATATATATTACTGTACTACGGTGCATAAAAAGATGTCAAAACTATGACCAATATTTATTTAATCCTGACTACGCAGCATACTCGTGCGTTAGGCCTCCTTCAGTGGTCTGAAGTTAGCTTCGGCTATAGAGTGACCACACTTACTGTGATTTCTATTGCATAGAGGGCATCGATCGACGTTTTATATACAATAATGAATATTGTATCGAATGACAAATATATTTTTTATTATCTGTTATTTGATGTGACACTGGCATAAATCTAGATTTATTTGTACTTGTGGCGAATACTGGCGGCCTCTCACCTGATGGAAAGATGTTAAAATAAATTCAAAACCAAAGATAATCTTCCAATATTTTTTTTTCTATTAAATTATTTTGAAATTTATTGTTGATATTGTGTGAGTGGGACGTCGTAAATTCCATGTTTTTTTTTTTTTATAAAATTGTCGAGCGATGCCGTCCTTAGCCCAAAATGTCGTTTGCATGGTGTTTCCGAACGGTTTCGCCGTTCCCGATACTGGCAACTATTCGTCGTTTATAATTATGTAATGCGCTTCACTACGTTCTAAATTCGAATGAACTTGGATATTTTTTATTTCGAGTTTTAATCACTTGTCGAATGTAAGCGCAGAAATTGTATGAATAGAGCTTTTATTGTGTTTGAATTATTTAAAAATGTTTTATTATAATGTTTTTAGCGGTGGTAGTGATGTGCCGTCGACAGCGGGTCCATGGGTTGTGACGATTACGTTCGACTTGTATCGGTTTGTAGTGCCAATCGCGGATGGTTTCAAGAGACCTACTATAATTTTATATTTCTACGCTATTATGTGATTAACTTAGAAATGTCAAACTATAGTTAGTTTATATGAATCCAAGGGTAGTATAACCTTAAGCTGCCAGGGATAAGACGGGTGTCGTCTTAGCCGCGCGATATTTGCGCGACATTACTAGCTAAATTGCTTTATTTTTCTCGAATGTGGTGGAGTAGAATTATGAATATAATTGTGAGTAAAACGTATATGTGTATGCATTAGCTATACTGTATTGGCTGGAGGCATGCCGCTATGAGGTGATCTTGGATTCGTTTTTTAAATTTTTGTATATGTTGTATTAATTCGGTAGTGTTGCAATAAAAAAAATCATTGAGAGTACTATTCTACATTATGTTCATACATATGGCATCGCATGAAGGTTCTATACCTAATAATTAGGTATGTATTTTTTATATTTATTAACGTAAAAGAGAACAAAATGTCTACGTAGTTTTATGCACAAAATTTCATTGTTTAGGAAAAATCGTCACTGGTCGTTTGAAATAAGAAACCTCGGATTACAATTTGAATCACGGAGAGGGGTGATGTCAGCTCAAAAGATAGGCAGGAACTAGTAATAGAAGCCATACTGTACGGGAGTAGTACTAATGCTGTGCTATTGGCATAAGAATAAGTAAACCGGACAGAATCGACACTCATATGCTTCCCTTCAGATATCACAGGGTTGTCACAAATTCATTTGCAATTTAACAAATAATTTTACGATATGACGTGCACACGTTGGAATGAGTTAGACGCAAAGCTCTCACTGCGGTGCGGTCTGTTGCTTGCAAGCCCTAACTTATAAACAAAATAGGGCCGTCAACGCGCCTATCTAGTTATTACTGAAGCCACGAGTATGTCGGTTCCACCTACAATTTTATTCTTGTGATATTGATAAGATTCTTAAGATTGCCTCATATGTGTCGCCCCAGCCACCCTTCCTCGAAGCCACTGGCAGCTAGATGGCGGCCGACCCTCGCGGCCAAACCATTGTTTATATTAAGGATCATCATCACATGGTCATTACCCGAGGCTAGTTTCTTCTTTAGTCGTAAGCTTTTAGAACTATCGAAGCCTTTCCTTTTCAAGTAAGCAATTGTTTTAATTATGCATATCACTTGTATATTATGCTCAAATTAGACGGAATCGTTGGTTTGTTTATTTAATAGAATTGTCCGTACATTGTGCAGGGTGGGTTTGAAGTTATTTGGTATTTATAAAAGTATAGGGTGACAACCCTATATATATATATATATATATATATATATATATATATATATATATATATATATATATATATATATAATGCGTGAAATGTGACATATTACCAATAGGTAATATGTCTCCATCACTTACCTACAAACCAGGAAGAGGTAAGAGGTCATTGGCTATCAAATGACCCATCAATATATCAATGTTCCAATTTCGAGATTTTTTTTTTATTAAACAAAGATATATGTAATTTTTAAGTCCATTAATAAAAAATCATCCAAGCAGATAATTTTCTTTTTTGTATTGTATAAAACTAATGTGATGCACAATTTCACGTATTAGAGTAAATATTTTATTAAATATTTTTTATAATTTTTTTTTATAAATCTATTGGATTAGACGATGTTTTTTTTTAGTCTTACATTTTTAGCTATATATATATATTTTTTTTTTTTTTTTTTGTATAATTTGACAATTGCACCCTGCACAATGCGTATATACATAAAAATCAACGTATAGCAAAATGTACAACTCGTTTTCGGTAGTGATGTTTCTATTTTATATAAGCGACTAGGAAATTTGTTATGTCTGTATATTTTTGGTTGGGGATGAGAATTTTTCGTTTTGTAATTTCATATATTTTGAATTTTAATATATTTTGACTTGTTTGTAGCGCGCGTCGCGCCGCTGTCTTTACGGTTATTAAGTTTTATTTTAGTTTTTATCGATACGTCTTCCATTTTACCTGTAGTCAATTTTCGTTTTATTAATTGACTTAGTGTTATAGCACAATTTTTGACTAAAATATATATATATCGCTTGCTATAGTTTTAACCTAGGTTATATATTTTTATGTCCCGAGCTTGGTAATTGTAAGTCCCAAAGATGCCGTATATAATACGGTCTTAGAATCCTTTTAGCAGTATTTTATAATGTTCTAAAGATTTGATTTATAGATGTAACAATATGTTTTGTAAGTGGACACAGTTTATAGCGTATAAGTACAAATGTAACTAACAGTCCCTAAGGTTGATGAATTGTTCATAGTTATTATTATTTGTGATGTTGGTTTATGTACTTACCGTGTTGGAACTTGATGTTATAAAAGATCTAATATGTTTTCGATTCACAGTCTTCTTTTTGAATGGTTTATTTTTACTATATCAGACCTCGTGTCTGTCGGGTGTTAATTACTAATTCACTTTGGCTATGCACGTGTGACAGATGTCATCATGACAATTTTATCGTCGTTATCATTTATGGCCATTGAAATTGAGCGATGAAAGTCACGCTGACAAATATCGCTTATTTCTTACCTCTGTGTCACTTATCATAGGTAACTATAAAACATTCACATATGGCATGTTCATGAATTTGAATGATGAAGAGTGATGAAATTTGTCATACTGACAAATGTCACTTATACGTGCTAGTATGTATATGGACTGTACATTGTTGTGATGTAATCTTGCAATATTTATTGTGTCTGTAGCTAAACATTTCAATTCAAAATAATGTTTTCCTATTGGATATTAAAGCACCCGAACCATTCAAACGAATAATATTTAGAGAATTAACCACGGTTATATATATATAATTGTTATTTATTTAGCTTAATTCGTATGTGGTCCTTAATATAAGAATGTTTATGGTGGAGCTTTGTAATGTGCCATAATGAAGTGTTGCCAGCGGAAACACCATAACCCTAATGTTACCATATATAATAAATTATCTACAAAGTAATTAAATGACTCGAAAATACTGAATTCCTTCCTATCGTGTAAAATAACAAGAGCTATTTTTTTGCTTTTTTAATATTTAACAATTTAATTTGTTATTTTTTTTTAAATATATAACTATTGAAATTGTATTTTTTGTTAATTAAGTTTCACTTTGAATGTAAGTAGGAAAGAATAATGTAACGTACATTTATTATAAATGAAGTATATGTTGTTTCATAAATGCGCGCGTTGGAAGGTCGCTCCGCTCAATTCTGTTCTTAATTACCTATTGATATTTCCTATTCATTTCTATTCTATTTTCTTAGCAAATATTAATTTATATTCTCCAAATAGTGTTAGATTTCAGATATTAAGGCATACTACTGACATAATTTTTTTATTACTTTTTTTTTATAATTATATATATTTCGCATTAATAGGATTCAAATATCCCTGATGACTGATCTCTATGAAGTCAGATCTAGGGCTTACTCTTTCTTATGAATATTATCCTTTATTTTTCCTATTTAGCTAAACGACACGGTTAGAGATAAGCTTTATTACTAGTAAAATCTATTATAAACTCGTTCACGAATTTCTGTTTTTTTAAATAAAAATATGGCTTGACATTTTGAAATGTACAACCCTATTTTTTTTGTTATTGTTCTAGCAGTTAATATTAATACTAAAAGTAACTTATATATTATTACTGCGTAATTAATTAATTAATATATGTTAATTAATAAATTACTCGGCTAAAATAGCGACCTTCCGACAGCAAAATACCATTCATTATAGAATTCATTGTGTAATAATATACATGGCATCTTAAACTTATTGTATATGTAAACTTAAAAAGTAAAACTATTTGGTAGCTATTTTAAGTAAGTTTTAGCCTATCGCAAATGTAACAAATATGAAATGCAGAAGTAATAAATATCTATATATATATATATATATATATATATATATATATATATATATATATATATATATATATATATATATATATATATATATATATATACCATGAAGTAGACTGCTATCATTGAAAATTTATTCGGTCCCTTGCAGGTCTACTATCCACTAGTCGGATAAAAAATTTTGTTTGATCTGTTCTGGAATTTTTGAGCATTATTTTTTTCTAAGATTGAAAATCGAACTGATTTAATTTTTTTTTTCATAATTTTCACGGTTCAGATATACGATTATACAGCCAAAGGACGTATGATAACTAGTGAGATACATACAATGTCTAATATCAAAAATTCCATAATCGATCTTATAAGGAACATACTGTCCATATACGAAGTGCACATAGATTCCATTTTTAGAATGAATACAAAATTGGTAAATATTGTAACCACGTTAGGTTGTTAACCAAAATAAGGGTACGACTATAAGATGTATGCATAATAACAATCGTGTGGTATTTGTAAATATGTTGAAAATGAAGCATGATTGAGTGAACATCTAGACGGAAAGATGAAATTGTAAAAGGTGTCCTATTTTAGTAAATATAAATGACCATTCGCCGAAGAATGAGCTAATAATAACTTTAGAGAGTCATATATATATATGTAGACATGTGATTACGTGTTTGCAAAACCACAAACACTGCTATAAATGCGTATACACAGCGACCAAATCTAACAAATATATATTTTTTTTTTGGAATTTATTGATCGATCACAAGTCACCGGGATACGTGGTGTACGATTATTGGCTAGCCGTGATGTTGTGTTATTAATTTTGTTAGATTATGTCTATAGAATGTTTTATAAAATTATTTAAACAGCTGTGTGTTGATCCATATGTAATGTACTTGATGGCTTTAGTTAGTAGAGTCGATATTGCGTGTAGGTAAACGAAATTGCATGTTAGGAGGACGAAGCATTATTATAAGATTTTGTAACTATATCCCCTAACGTGGTTACATTCACTCTACCCACATAAATACGCTCACAATACATAACTAAGGGAGTTGTTTCTACTTATATTTCATTTAATACTATATCTACTTATATTCCTGAACTGTTTTCTATGAGTTTAAGTCATGAAGTTTTCGCAATGCAATTCTAAGGGTAAAAAAGAAAAACACTTTTTTGTTGCGTAGTTCTAACTTTAAGAATTTAGAAGAGAGATACGTAAATTATTTTTGTCTCTGTTGAACATATGGAAGTCGTGCAAGCGTTACTCGCGAATCTCACCGTCTACTTTCGGCAAAATGTTTCAATATATCTCTTTCTAACAATATAGGTGCGAAGGAGACAACACGAACTTTTTGTGTGTGTGTAAACGTTACGCGTGAGCAATGTATTTGCAGTTACATCAACTACTCGCAGCGTTCAATATGTAACGAGACGCCTTCAGCCGACGACATTGTATTTCTATAACTTATTATGAATGATGGACGGTTATTATATTGTAATGAAACGTGTGAAAGCTTTCCAAGTTATTTAAATAAGAAATATAATGTGTCCATTAGTATGGGACGTATTTACACGTAAGCAGTGTGCAGTGTGCAGTGTGCAGTGTACAGTGTGCAGTGTACAGTGTACAGTGTACGTTGCTATCCGACCCGATTCTCCTTGTACAATTTAAGAAGATGCAATAACAAGTGATTCATGTAATATGTATAAAGTAGTATATAGCATATTTTCTATGTTTTTCGATATTTAGATAAATACTGCCAGTGTCGATGTCAAGTAAATGGAACGTACTAAGGTGTAAAGATTTTTAAATATTTCTCCGTTCTCGGTGTACCGGCCCGCGCAGTGCGGGCTCGATGACGCAAATGGTGTCTAGAACATTCAATTCCAAGTCCTCGGCGCAGGAACTCGACTAAACTAGTGTTTAAAGTACTTTTAAATTGTTTTGCGTGATCAAATCCTTGATAGTAGGTAAATTAACGTCCGTTGCCAATAACCAAATAGTATTGAACAATTCCTCCTTTTTTAATATCTTCATAGTAGTTAAGTGAATGTACTTGCGCACAATATGTATGTGAGGATGGCCCCGTTATGTTTTGACAAAGTGCAGCGTCGCCTGCAAATATTTTTGGTAATATTTTACCTGTCATAGGGAGTCGCGCTGTCCGCATGCCCTCTTTAGATCTGTCTCGCTGTAGATAATAAATATGATGGCATTTAAACTAGAGCTCATAGATTTTTTTCCATTGTAGCACAAAAAAAGTATTTTTCTCTCAATATTTCGGTAGTGGTTTCTTTAATAGATATATTTTCTAGCATAGCTCAAACACACTTCGTTTACAATTGGTATTTGAGATCAGCACGTACCTACATGTACATGTTATACCTATTTTACCGACGGACTGCGGATACGATTGTCATGGTGTATTTAATCTTAATACCTACGTTTAATATATACTGAAAATCTATATTTTTAACAAATTTAATTTTAAAAATATACCTAATTAATAAAATCCTAAAGATTAAAAAATGAAATTTTTAATATTTATGTGTATAGTAGTGTGTACTGCGAGGTGATTATAAAATAACAAACGCTTATAATTTTCGTCTCCACAGATTTGTGCAAAGAGAAATTATATAATTTACTGTCCATGAAATTAATAATCTATACCTAACTGATGTGTACAAAAATCAGTATGTTTCAGGCATTTTGAATCCGACTTAATGTATGTAAAAATAAATGTTGTTTTAAAAATTGTGATATTTTATTTTATACCCATATAATATTTTTACTGTGTCCTGTAAAAACTAACTACTCTGTCTATCCGTATCGATTCCTCGATGCAACCTAGGAAATTGTATGATAACTAGCCACAAATACATTATACCTTAATAAAGGCCCGAGCAGACTGTAACAATCTTGACATACATTGTACATTTCTCCATCATATTAGCCAAAAATAAGCCCCATGTAACATGCACTGATGCGTACTTGCATGAAGTATGCATGCAAAAGGAAAAATTGTCCATACTTTCCGCACACTCGTCTACGAACGTCTGTGTAAACTGAACCGGGTCTTTGTACCTACATATCACACCAACAACTGATATGTTGGGCTAATTTGTTTGTAAATGGGCTAAAATTTAAATCATATAAAATCTTATTCTCACGTAGATAAGCAAATCTTAGTTTGAGAATAATATAGCAGAATATACTTCCGATACCTATCTAAAAGTAATCCGACGTTTTCCCAGGAATGCATTGACGTATTTAATTTTTCTGAGGGCCTGCTGACCCCTTAAAAGAGGCGTATAATGTACTTAGACTTATTTTTGTGCAAAGCTGAATGCTACGCTCGAATTTTGGAATGGACACCGACAATTCTGGGGTAGGCATAACCCTTCCCTCTCTTACGTTTCTTAAATACACTTAAACCGGCATACGATGGGGGATGGGGGAAGAGATTTCTTAGTAATGCAGACTAATAATCCCATTGCTAGTAATATACCGTCATGTCAACCTTTACGTGGTCCCTCCTAGAACTATCGTTCATTCTAACTTATGTCCCGCTAGCGTATACTATTAGCGCAGGTAGGGTTAACATTCCATAATCATCCATTAAAAAAAAACCAGCATGCAATGTGTTTCATAATGTAGGTACTTCTCTTTCTGCGTGTTTACGTATATGTCATGGAATGACTGGTTCACTATTTTACAAATCAAGTTGGTTGTTTGAACAAACCCACGAACAGTTACTATTTCAGATCCGCTTATATATCTACTCATATTTAATGAAAAACTACGTTATAATCAAAAGTTTTATTAAAACCAAATTCACACATTCTGTGTAACTTATAAATACATCCAAAAGTTAAAATACAATTTTATAAAAATTATAACTTTCAAAATTGTGAGCATATTATGACAAACTTAAAAATGTATTTGCCAAGAGTAAAACTAGAACACTTTTACAAATAAATATTATTTACAAGTCTATGGCAATAGTTAGGTACAAAATATCTTTGGACTTGCCACTAAACTATCGTATTAATCGGTATTCGAACTCAGCATTCGTTGACAGAAAACAATATTTTTATAATGTTGGCAATATTGAATTTTAAAAAGTGCTATTTGTGCTTCATGAAAGACAATTACAAACGAGTAAATTTATCTGTATGTAGTAAAGACACTGGAATGCTGAAGTATTCGGAAGGCCGAATTAAGATAGCAATGTCGCGATCTATTCTATTGGTATGGTAAGTGTGAATTGTACAAAGATATGCTTTTCTACGACGTTTACGTCGATAATTTGTATTAAACTTGAGGTGCAGCTAGCGCCTCTGATGGATGGTGACGGAAACTCAGATTTCCATAGAAACGTAGGTACGTAACGTACGTATATGTAGAAAAATAGGCAAACGTGAACGTAGTTGCAATTCTTTGTATAATTACTACTAGCCACTGAGGTTGGTGGTTTTTTATTACATAAGAAATTGTTAATGGGTTACTCCCATTAATTTTATAACAAATTTTCATCAGAAGGGCCTCTTAAAGAGTGGGTATTTGTAAGGTCCAGAGTATAAACTGTCTTAAGTACAATTCTAAACTTATAAATTAAATAAGCGTATTAAAACGAGAGAGCTACATTGAGGTCTGTAAATGATAAATACGACTTGGAATGAATAAGAGTGAATCAAAAAGTTACAATAATCGTATTTCAGTTAAAAATAAAAATTTCCAAAAAGAATATATGAGTCGATGTTGAAACAAAAAAATCTTCTATTATTGAGCAGTTACCAGCATTTTTAGTGCTATTTACTTAATTACAATTTGTGTATACATATGTAATATGTCAAACATACGACTTATGAAAGAAAGCCATGGCTTCACATTTGAAAGAGTTAAATTTAAATTTCCTATTTAAATTTGAACAGAAAAATAAAATAAATAAATAAGCAATAATTTCAAATAAAACAATCTCATTGTAATAAAACTTTAAATCTTCAAAAACATCAAAGCTACACAAGAAATTAATATATTTTTGTGGTCAGATCGAATTTTTTTGGTTTAATTTTTTTTTATTTTTCTGTTCATGCTAAATGTAACTGCAATTTTAACGGATCCTTTATAAAATGAAATAATAAAGAATTTCACCTTATTCCATATAACATTCCATGTAGCACATTCGTATTTTCATTAATAATGTGCATTATCCAATTTTTTGAAATATTCAATGTATTTTCAAAACAAAGCAATATTTTTGTGTGGTGTTTCTTTACTACTATCTAATAATTCGGAACAAAATTATTAGCGAAATTAAAATCATAATTAAAATTCCAGTCACAAAACGCTATAAAAAAAAATCTCAAAAAAATTATATCTATAAATCTCAAACTACTTAAAACTAACCTACAATAGTAATAGAACTAACTTAATTCAAAATTGGCACTATATCAACTAGATGCACAAAGTAAAATAAAAAAAATAACAAATAAAATTAAGCATTATAAATTACAGCAAAAATGGCATTTAAAAAAATTGGTCCCCGTTTAAAGGAATAACTTAAACGCTAATGTTATCGTTACACGGTAAATGTTTATAAAACTAGACATTGCATTAGGCTTTGTTTATACAGAGTTGGCGCTTATAGCGGTTAGTAGTGAGGGCTACAAATCCGAAAATCGTAATACGTTACAACAATCTCAGTGTTGCCAGTTTAAGTAACCAATTTTGAGTAAAAATTGGTTAAAATTTTAGTTAAACAGAATTATGACTGATATAAAATGACCAAATTAACATTTTAACGTTAATTTCTAGTGTTGTTTAGCTCAGAAATCTCATAAATATTTTTAATGTCGGGATACTTGTGTGTATTGTATTATTTCGAATTCCTTATATTGTGATACGTATTCGTTCACACACTACATGATATTAGAGTACAATGCACAACAGGCCATAAGTCACAATAACCCTCAAACATTTGCCTCTGTATAAACGAGGCTGTAGTAACACAAATATGCGAAAAATATGTCAATACAATTTATCGTTTTGCAAAGAATTATATTCTGCAAAATCTACCAAATATTAGTTAATGAAACTAGAGGTAGATGGATTTCGATGCTATTGGTGAATGTCCAAAAGGAATATATTTTGGGCACGAGTTTTACTTACACATGTCAATTCGTAAATAAAAACAGTGGATAAGGAATTAGAAATTTAGATATTGGTTTTCCAATTCACTTTTGTGTGTGAAATAGTATTACAAGCATAGAATTAAGGCACAAGTTTATTATACTTCAAACTTAAGTGTATCCTCTTTTTTCGTCAGATCTTGGAGAATGATAGTTCACCTGATGATGGAAAGTGGTCATCATCGTCAGTCATTAATAGCACTATGGACAGGACACACATATATTATGACGTCTACTCCTCATGCATTACTATTTTAGAGGACTAAATCTCTCTATACTCTATAATTTCACTGCCATATTCCGCCCTTCAAACCGAAACACAGCCAAGTACAAAAGTTAGTTTGTCGGAAGAAATTTAAATGGGGCAGAGGTCTTTATATAAGGTCTCCCTCTTATTATTCAAAACAAAGAACAGTTTAACAGAATCAACAATCAAATCCATACATATTTTTGTACTCCGAGTAACAGTATAATTGAAATTTACAGGTATACATAATGTTCTAATTGGCAACCCTAAATTTATCTATTTAATTCATAAAGGCACTTAAGTTTATAACCAACAACGTAGTTGTATGAGCATAATATATATATATATATATATATATATAAAATACTAGAATCTAATAATCACGTGTAGAAAATGAGGTAAACCATACTTGTGAACATTTCATATAAACAATAGGCAGATTTGGCGTTTTCTCTACGTTAAAACAGTGTTATATATATTGTTCAGTTTACGTGACGAAAAGAAAAATGTTATTTAAAAAAAAACAGTTAATATTCTTACATATCAAAATATATAAATTTCATGTAGACAAGATATCATGAAAATTCAATAATGTTACTTTATTAATTTTTACTCTATGGTATTGGTGTATTTAAGATTATTTCGCACAGGGGGGGGGGGGGGTTACTACTTAAAAAGGTACATATGTATATAGATTACATATATATTTTTGGCCCTTTACTTATGGCTGAAAGCTCCGTTTCTTATTCTGTGGTAAGCACAAAACAACTCTAAGGTAGGCACGGCCTATCAGTCCTCCCCCTTCCCCATCTACATATACTCTATACATACGCAAATGCTCTATGGACATAATATGCCAAACCATTCTCTACTAACTTTTAATATTTTCCAGTACACGTTAAAATGATAAGTTCACTTTATTACTAAGAAAAACTCAGATCGATAAAAAATATCACTCAATTGCATTAAAAAGGGTTTCACAATATAAAAACATTTACTAAAAACTGGGCAAGATAACGTCTCGTAACAACTATGTTCAAAATAAAAGTAGTATGTAAATGCATATAATTGTATGTATGGAAACAAAAGCGTACATAATTTTTGCTCACCGAAGTGTGACAATTATGGTAATAAAAAAAAATGTTTTTCAGTGTTTTTGACTGCACTGATTATTTAAAAAATACTCTGCTAGCGAACTAAACCATTATGCATATAAATCTACCATTAATTGGGGTCCGCTGCTGGAGAGAAGTCCACCTGACTTAGTGCTAAGCTGGCTAATTCTTTTTTTATACAACTTAGAATGGCAAACAAACTGACGGTCCACCTGATGGAAAGTGGTAACCGTCGCATATAGACATGAGCAATACCATGAACATAACAGAATATACTGTTTCGCCCATGATACTCCCCATGCGTTGCCATTCCTGAGGACTCAGGTGTTATTTCTCTGTTAACACTACATCGGGTGGGCCGTTTTTTGTTTGTTTGATTAAAAAACTTTACATCTACTTTATATTTACTTCGGAATCTTACAAATAATAAAAATATTACATGATTAACGTTTTAGTTGGTCAGCAGATGATTTTTTAAATAGTTACTCAGAAACATTAAAAAATATTCAATTGTTTTTGAAAATTGACAAATAATTGCAACGTTATCATACTTTGTTATGAATTCATCATATACTCTCAAGGTTCACTGGAAGAGATCACTTTAAGGGATAAGTCGGTTTGAGTACATGTTCATTATAAACAAATATTTATATTAAAAGTGAATGTATAAAAGCGTATATTATTTGTTTGTTATAAATACTTTTATACTCTAAGCAGAAACTTTAGATTAAAATCCTTTTAAGACAGTTTTACAGTGAAATAAGGTTTAAAACGAAAAAAAATTGTAAATTTATAACTGGCTAGAAATATCACGTAAGTGAATTTTTTTTTATATTTTATTTTTCGGCCCATGTCCACTGTACGAAAAATGTTCAATTTCACCGAGTTTTACTTACTTTCATACTAAGTCATTATACGTAATAAAATGCGTAAACATTTGTCATGATTATATTAAACACGTTCGGTGAGCTAACGTTATGAACACTCTTAATTAGAAACAAATATTCGAAATTTCTTAAAATATCGATTAAGCTTGTAATAATAATGGCGGACGCTTAGAATACCATAGACCACCATGAGAACTAATGGTACTTTATTATGTCAACTCCACATTACATATTTATCCAGAATCTGTCAGGTGAAAGCCCTGATTGTTTTTAGATATATTATTTTTATTACGTGTTCGTCGAGGCACAGTTTAGAGAAGCTACTCCTTTTGGTGAATGTGGGTGGATGACTTAGAGGATGTGTCCCTACGAGACGCTGTGATGCTATAAAAAGGACAACTGGTAGTGGTATCCACGGGGCTGTACATACTGCACATGCTGAATTGAGAGGAACTGTTTGTAGCTAAGATCCTCGGCCAGGAGGGTCAAAGCAAGAAAGAGAAGAATAAAAGTACAATACTTGTCCACTAATCGATGTAAATGTAGAAATTCGGTGTGCCGCAGTACTTGGCGGCGAGAGCTTTCCCAGCGGATGTGGGCGCGCTGAAGGCCAGGTGGTGGGGCTGCAGCGCCTCCCCTAGCAGCAGCGAAGCACGAGCGCAGTCCAGCAGGCGGGCGGCAACACCGCGCCGTCTTCGCGACGGGTGCGTCCAGATACGGGATACGCCCATCCTGTGGACACACGTGGTAACTGTGAGAAAACGTACGTTAAATATGAGAATACATATTCGCAATGGTGATTATAGTAATTAATAGTGAATATCATCATCATCATCATCATATCAGCTATTATATTTCTACTGCTGAATATGCCTCCTCCTGTTGTGGGTTTTTGCTAGTATTTACCATGCTTGGCAGGCGAGTTGGCAACTAGTTTTTTTTGATGGGTTAAAATGGTATGGTAACCCCGCCTGCGCTAACGGGATACGCTGGCGGATCACCAGTGAAGGGTGAGAGATGAGAATGAAAACAGACTAGTTAGCCCATCATGATGAATTCATCAGGAATTAACCATGATAGTTTCCAGGGGGAACCACGAGGAGGTCGAGCTGGTTGGGCATGTTGCTAGCAATAGGATTTTTAGTCTCCATTATTAACAATCCCCTTTCCCCCAGCAACCACAGTTAGGCTATTGTTATGTTTAAAGAAGGACGCTGCTGCTCATCCCTTAACCATTTAGTTCACTTAGTCGCCTCTAACGAAACCCACAGGAAAGTGTATAGTGAGTATAAAATCAAGTAAAACAAGAAATGGACTAAAGAAGCGACTGAATGGTATCCACGCAATTGTAAAAGTAATAGGCAGAGATAAAAAAACTAGATGAGAATATGACCTGAAGGAAGTGGCAGGACCAAAGTGGCGTCAAACCACACAAGATAGAAGTGGAAACTGATAGAAAATAATATGATAATAAAAGCATGAATAGTTGAAATCTTATATAATTATTGTTATTGCATAAACCAAATAATGCAACTGAATAATCTAATTATTAACATTTGTTGAATGTGTTAATGTGCAATAAAGTGTTAAATAAATAAATAAATAAAAAAATGTATTATTTATGTGAAAATTTACAATCAGTAATTAAAGTCTATTAAATAAATAAAATATATGTTAACACAAGAATATTAGACTTTTGTTTGGTTCGTAAAAATAATAAAAAAAAAACATTGAATTCTTGATTTTTCTTCCTTAAAATGATCATAAATGGTACTTACTTAATGGGATATTCTTCCTCGCTGCAGCAATCTGGGTCCCCTGGTATCAGTTTATGGGCTTTCGTTTTAGGCTCCACAATCAAACAGCCTGTTATTTGTTTATTTTCAATGTACAGGTAGGCCTATAAAAATAAAATTCACAATTATTAATAAACTACATATCTACACCCACTTTATGTCATGCTTTCAGTAACTAAATGTTTTTTTCTGTATTCTTTTATATAAGTACATAGTATATAGGTATCATAGCACTAATTGGAAGAAGGTAGGAATGTAGGCGTGTATAATATATATATATATATAAACGCATGTAGAAGTGTTCCAATGCTGATTAGAAAGGTCGCGCAGCAACGCCTGACCTGCGATGCAAGGCGTACAATTACCAGTATGTTTCAAAAGAACTTATAATGTTTCAGTGATGATTCCAACAAAACTTCGTTATAAATTTATTATTGTTTTTAATAAGTTTGGTAACTAGGGAGGAGTTTGTACAAAATTCATTTTCTCAAAATGTGAGCATTATTTTGACAATCTTCATCGAGATAAATCAAAATTGCCGTACTGGCGAGATAAATTATTATTACTATGTAAACTCATATCTGTCCTGTAAATTAAAAATGGAATGACCTTTTACTTAGAAACATGGCTACCAAGGAGGTAACTAATAAAAGGTTTTATTTAAATTTCGAACTGGCTTGCAAACAGAAATCTGTTTATTGAAAAAAAAAAAAAAAAAAACAGAGAAACATTATGAAGCGTGAAAAGTTATTATTGTTCGTTATTCATCATTGAACTGAAAAAGTAAAATACAGTAAAAGTACTATACAAATTTTGGCCACAACTAGGCATCAATGGACTCACATATGTGTGCCTCGGCTACGCCTCGGCCCACATTTGCACGTTCGTCCATCAATGCCTCAATTGCTGGCAGCTGCAGTAATGTACTATTTCCCATTCGTGTTTCAACCGTAAGGGTGGAATATGGCAGTGAATTAACAGGGTCTGCTTGCCATTCTAAGTTACATAAAAGTTATATTAATTGAAAGAAGATTGTAGATGTGTAGACTGACCGTGTATTCGTGCAGGCGGTGGGAAGGCAGCTCGGGCGGCAGGCCGAGCTGCGGGTGCACGAGCCGCGCCAGCAGCGCCCCCACGCGGCGCCAGCCCGCGCCGCCGCCGCGCACGCGCACGCACCGCCCGCCGCCCCACGTGCCAACCACGGACTCCTCTTTCCACCCCTGCCGCATAATAGGCAACGGATCTTTATATAATTCACCGTAGCACGGCACGACTTCATACGATTTTACCATTCCGATATAATAGAGAACAAAATATATACAATTATATGGAGACCTTTAAAATTTTATGTTCTATTTCTTTTTAACAACAATACTATCATGATAAAAAAATGACGATTTAAAGGTGAATTGCAAGTACCTAGGAGAGTCAGGAAAAAATACTAAATTATATTTCATACCATGAACGTGGTAAACAAGTATACAGCCCATCTGATGGTAAACGATCACAGTAGCCCATAGTCGCTTGCAACACCAGGGGTGTCACGTGTACGTGCCAGCCCTGAAGAAACCTTAATACACCCTATTTGAAGAACGCAAATAAATAAATGCAATACTTACATTAAATCTCAGAACATCTGTCGCGTTGTGATGAACCAAATGGTCATGCTCGTCCTGAGGATCGCCGACCTGCAAAATATAACAATATTTAGAGAAATATAACTACACATACTTCAAATTGAATTGTCTTGAAAGTTAACTTTATACAATCAGAATAAGATTTCTTTTTGTATGTATATTGAGGTTGACAACCACGTGGCCCCTATGGAAACCATAGTGGTTAATTCCTGGTAAATGCGTAGTATCGAGTCCACTGACCAGAGGGCCTACCATGTTTTCGAGGCCGAACGATACACAAATTTGATATTAAAAATACATGTTACATACCATTTAAACATATTAAAATATTGTTCCTTTTGATTTTTATGGTAGGATTTATGACATTTGAGATGTTAAGCTCATTTCATATTGAAATCATAGGATTTTAGTACGAACAAAAACACGAAATGAGTTCAAAAATTCGGATTTTCATTTCATTGCAGACACCCTGACTTCATCCAATCGGAATGGGAACATTCCATTTTCATCCATTTAAATATTAACTTTTAATTCTAATATAATATATATGTACCTGATAAATAACCCCGCATTCTGTGCATTGTGTAGCACCGAATCGCTTTTGTCCCGCGTCGATGACGTATTGATCAGAGCCATTCTTTAGTATACACTTTTTGCTCTTATCTGGCGCTGTAAATAATTATATATATTATATAAACAATATAAATAAAAATAAATGTGTTCATCACCGTAAATTTACTGGGTACGGAGGAATAAAACACAGGAGGAGTGAAACAGTTTACTCTGTTATGTCCATGGTACTGCTCATATCTATAGACGACGGTTACCACTTTCCATCAGGTGGGCCGTCACCTTGTTTGCAATTCTAAGTTGTATAAAAAAAAAACCATCTCATCCATTATCTGTCCACTGCTGAGCATAGGCCTCCCCCATAGACTGCCGTAAGGAAAGGTCTTGAGCCACCTGTATCCACTAACTTCCTGCAATGGATTTGAGATGGTAACTCCATCTAATTGGATTACCAATTACACTGGGTCGTCACTCAAGAACTTTCTTCCCCATCGGTTATTGGTTCTTTGAACTATGTGACCATTACCACTTCAGCTTGCTTATCCTTATTAAATGTGTTACTAATAGCAAAACTCGAGAATGGTTGTACCAATTAGGCTACCTTTTTGACATGAACATCCTGGTGTCACTCGTATTTTGCAATTTCTGAGGACTTCCACATTATATAGTTTTTACAGCCTTTAGTAAAATTGAAATGTAGTTGATAAAGTTAGATTTAATAATTGAGCTGGATTACCTTTAGAACTGGTACTGGGCGTGCCTGGATTTGGATTGCTGAATATCGGGAATAATTTTTGCGTTTTGTCCGCCTTCGTAGCTTCTCCTACTGCTGGTGGAGTTATAACTGAAACAAATGAACAAAAAAAAATGTATTTTCAGACAGCTTCGGGGTCACGACAGATTGTGAAATTCTTAGGACCATAGCCACTGCGTTAAAACCGGCAGTACCCACTGACACCTCCCCCCCCCCCTCACCCATGAACTAAAACCATCCAATAATATTTTATTACATTAAAATATTTTAATTGTGGCCATGGATCTTCATTAGAAAAATATTTATCTATAAGCTTGTTAAATTCTTATAATCATGAATATGGAAAGTAAGAATGTTTGCCTTAATTGCTCGTCACGAAATTTGGTATACATATTGTCATAGTCGTAGAATACTGACGGATCTGATAAAGATTACATATAAAGATCCGTCAGTATTCTACGGCTATGACGAAATCCTACCTTATTCATAAAAATTAAAACATTACTTACACACTTTTTACTACACATTATAGCATTTTGTCACTGTCTTTCAAATTGAGAAATTAGTACAAAACACTTCAATAAATAAGTTTATTGGAGGTTTGACATTTTTATAAGGAATAGATACTTTCATTACTGCCAATCAATTTTTTTTTTTTATTTAAATGTAATATCTTCTTTTTGGGAATAATATAAGTTCATTTTTTTTTTAATAAAAATAATCTTGGAAATTAATTCAGATATTTACGTCGCAATTTGTAAGTTAATAAATAGAAGTATTTTGGTGTTACTTACCGGGCGAGATGGCGGTTTCAGTGGATGCAAGAACCGCTTCTGCATTGATGTTGTTAGACTGAGCCATTTTCAATATTTGTTCGTCAAGCATTTTTAATTCGCGTTCTATCTCATCCAGGTCTGGCAACTCGTCTTGAGCTGAGAAAAATATATTTATTATTATTTCAGCCGTTAACTGTAGGAGGTAAGCCTTTCCCATAAGATGAGTTTTGAAAGTAGTTGCCACGCTTGGCAGGCGGGTTGGCAACCGCTATTAGACTTTTAGAGATGTTTTAAGAGGATCGCTGCTGCCCATCTCTCGTCCTCGAGAGAACTATATTAATCCTTATATTATTACTATATTAATATTATAAACTCTGACATGTGGGACAGGCATAGAATGGGCCAAATGTCGAGGGATTAGCAGTAGCAACCTTCTTAAAACATCACTAAAGGCTAACTGCGATTGCCAATTCGCCTGCCAAGCGTGGCAACTATTGACAAAATCCCTTTTATGGGAGAGGCCTGTTCAGGATTAGCCAGTTAACGACTGATATAATTAATATACTATACTACTATATAATATTAAATAAAATAAAATAATCTATAATACTAACAACTAGCTAAAAAACTTGAAGTGCACGTATTTTTTAGAATAAAGAAAAGAGACAGGGTGCTTTTTATCTTAGTCATTAAATGCTCTCTCTCTCTATAAGCGAACAATGTTGCAGGTATATAATTTTTACTAATGTATGAAAATTGGAACATCAGTGACCGATCGTGGTAAATTCAGAAGCAATTAATCACGACAAATGAGTATTATAATTGGGTTCCATTGTCAATTTTAACTTTATTGAAATATAGAGGGTCAACTGAAAACTTATGTTTTTCGACTACTCTTTTGGAGAAAGTAAATACATGAATATTGAGTCCAGGTTCCGTGTTCATGAACCCTTTCTAAAATTGCAACTAACCCTGTCTATTTTACTTATGTAAAAATGTAATATATTATTGTTAAAAGTTTCGTAACACATTATATTTTAACACTTTGCTGACCGAGAATTCTGTCATGGGTGAAATCTTTAGAATTGAAATTGTAATAAAAACCTTGGTCATGAACGCTTTGTAATCTTGCTTACAAACGGTCTTGCTCGTCGTTGTAGGAGGACGTAACTACACGCTAGTGTAATGACGAGTTTACTCATCACCGGCCAGCAAAGTGTTATAATATTTACAGGTTTAACTTACGTGTAATTAGATCGAGAAAGCTCGACTAGTTTTGGGATAAATTCGTGATACTTAATCATGAACAAAATAAAATGTAATATAATAAAATAAATATAAATTGGACTCACGTTGCTGTTCATCAGCTACCAATATATATCCACCTTCGACTGGTAAAAAGTGACCACTTTTAGACATATCACCATGAATATTTTTATGAGTATCAGGTTCAGACATTACCACGTCATGCGCCTCAGCGTTTTGTGGTAATTCGTCGACGTTTTGTGGCAATGGTTTGACGTTTTGTGGTAGTGCTGTTTCTTTCTCAGAGCCAAGTTCGACAATAACGGCGTCGGAATCCTGCGGCAAAGCTGCCTGCACGGGAACCGCCGTGATCGGTTGGAAGATCTGGCTAGTTTCTTCTATAACAGAATTGTTGAAACAGGGCAGCTCTTGCCTGGGCTTGGAGTGAGAAAGTTCCGAATCAGGAACTTCTTCCTCTGTCCACTGGCTGAGGAGTGCTTCAATGGTCTCCTTTTCTTTGACGAATGGGTCAGCTTTATCTATAGCAAAATAAAAGATTTATTTTTTATTATGTAACCCCAGAATGACAAATTGATGGCCCATCTTGCTAAAACTGCTATTTGTACTTATTGGTATAAGGGGGATAGATTTTGAGCTTTATAGTTGACGACATATGGGAAATGTCATAGAGGTTTCTGTATTTCATTAGATAGACCAGTAACCTATTTGCAATTCATATTAGTATTTAATGGAAGAAATAAGATAAATCAAATAATTCAACTTCACATAATTTCAATAATAGTTTTGTAAAGTAAGCCTTTTTACATGTTTAAAGTTAATAGACTAATCAGAATCGTTTAATGTTATTACGTCAATTACTTAATCATTATAAACACATTCATTAATTATATTGACTTACCATTACCAAGTTCCTGTGAAGAGTTGTGACTCAGCATAGAACTATCATTATTGCTCACATTAGTTATAGTCGTGTTTACTTCCGAAGTCCCTACTGATTTATTTAATGGCCTAACTCCACTAGTTATATTAGCTCTATTCACTTTGGGCTTTCTGATTTTATGTCTTACACCCAAATTTATCTGGCCAGGTCTCCTCTTACGTTTATGAGAGTAGGAGTGCAAGAAGGGACGACGATTATGCGTGCTTGTAACTTCTATGGCGTTAGAAATCTTGGTTGTCACATTACTATTCAATTCCGGATTACTTTTACCATAGAATGACTTTGCGGACAATATTTCTTTTAATCTCTCACTATTGAATAATGATGTACGCGCTTTGGGCGCTACACTTTCTAATCTTGGATATTTTGAGTGTGGAGCATTATCTGACATACTATCATTCCTCATTCTCTTTTGACTTTTCTCACTGTCACCGTAGGATTCTGGACTTTCGTTAATCTCGACAACTGATCGACGATTGTGACTTAATTTTGGTGGAGACTGAGTCTCTGTTGTGTTATGAGGAGTCTTCAACATCTGAGTTGGTGATATGACGCTAGTCATGTCCATTTTGGTTAAACAGACAACAGCCGTTTTCATGGGTGACAACATGTTCTTTTTCTGTTCTAACAGCACACCTTTGAAGCTCTGTACTTTAGGCGTCATTTTCTGTTTTATGTTCATACGTCTACTACTTTTAGTGGGTGTGTTTTCTTTAGAATCTGTACCAGAGTCTGTGTCAAAATTTAAATCTTTAAGAGAACTGCTGCAACTTTCTGTGTCAGCTATGAGGTTAGCCAAGCTTTTACGGGCTCGGCTGGAGGTCGACGAGGTTGTGTTAATACTATTGCAAGAATGTGTTGATGAAGGAGTTCCAGGTTTATTGTTGAAGTGAGGAGTGGCCGGAGTGGATGTAGACCCTGTACATTTTGAGTCACCACAAGAGTATCTAGTCTGGTACTTTTTTAACGTGAATGGGGATTTGATAAAATTCTTCAAATCTTGGTTTTCTTTCAGCAGTTTCCTGGTCTGACTGCGTGTCTCGTCTGTAAAGAAATAAAAATTGACGATGGGGTAATATAACAATTGATGTTCATTAATTATGAAGTGTTTAGTTTTTCCTCGACCAGCGAAATATGGTAGGACTCCGTCATCTTGTGTCACTTACTCATGAGATTTTAAATAATGAAATTAATATACAGTGGATTTTGGGTATAACGACGATGAAGGGACCACTCTATTTTCGTCGTTATATCCGGAAGTCGTTATAGGCAAAAGTAAAGAGATACAGACACATAGACATGTATAGTTTTTTCTTCGCACAAATCAGCATTGTTTTCACCGTCTTTCAATTAAGAAATGATTTCCACCTTTCCAGGGGGCTTGTTAATAATGAAGAATAACAATTTCAGGGTAACCAAGCTGATAGTACCGTCAGGTTGATATCCACACTGTTCTCCTGAACACCACTGTTAATTCATGGTGAACATGTCACATTGTGCTCTGGCTTTTGAATGGTGAAATGATGTTACCCTAACTTATTGTAACATACCAAAATATATTATATTTTCAATGGAATATAAGGAAAATAAAAAGTAGTGACATTGACCTCGACCTTGTAATGAGTTTTGGTGAAATTTTGAGACTTTTCTCTTTGTGACATCATGTATTTAATGAACATTCCCTATATATTATAAATAAATAAATATTATTAAATTAAAACAATCAACGAAGGTACAATATGAACTATAATCATCTTTGGTTTTTATCATTGCAAAACAATGGTCAATTTATTAATGTAATTATTATAATTTACAACTTTTGCAGGAAACTAAACTATACAATAAAGGTAATTGCAATAAAATATAATAATTTATAAATGCAACCTTGTATTACAGGGTCAAATAAGTTGCAAGTGTTGAGTTCTGTGACAAATACAAAATGTATGTTGATGCAGTACAAAAATTAATAATTTCTTCAATAACAAATTGATGGAAATTTGTTACTTTTTTGCACAAAAACTACTGAATACATTTGAATGAAATTTGATGCATGGGTAGTTTATATTCTTACTTAGCAGAAAGGATACTTTATGTTCCGATTCATGCAGGCAAAGCCACCGGATACAACTAGTTAAAAGTATAATTTAAATATGAAAATCATATTCTAATAATTATAGAGTGATTAAAAATTCTTGAAGTGAAGGGAGCTTGTTAAATTATTCAATTAAATGAGATGAAGATAAAAAACTTCAAATTTTCTCTTTTTTCTTTTGAGAAACTTCTCTTTTTTGAAAATATTTAAATATCCTGTAAGAATTGGACTTTGTAGATTACAATAATGACCTACTTACAAAGCTCTGTAATTATTTATTTATTGAAGTATAAATTGCTCATACATTTCTGGTTCTCCAAAACGTAGTGAGATATTTAAAAATTTTAAACAATATTCAGACACTGTATCTAACCGTCATTAAAAATTAATATCAATATCTGGCTACTAAGCAATCAGAATTGTAATGTATAATAATAATTATGTTGGGGGGGGGGGGGAAGCGATTGTTAGTAATGGAGACTGAGAATCCCATTGCTAGCAATATACCCAACCAGGTCGACCTCCACGCAGTTCCTCCTGGAAACTATCATGGTTAATTCCTGATGAATTCATCATGATGGGCTAACTGGCCTGTTTTCATCCTCACCTATCACCCTTCACTGGTGCTCCGCCAGCGTATCCCGTTAGCGCAGGCGGGGTTACCATACCATTTTGATTCATCAAAAAAAAAAAATTATGTATAAATAATGTATATTTAATCATATATAAATAAATAATATATAAATAATGTATAATAATTAATATATATTTTCTTTGAAATATCCCCAAAACAGTAAAATTAATAACTTTTTTTTATACAACTTAGCTTGTTTGCCAAACAAGCTAACGGCCCACCTGATGGAAAGTGGTAACTGTCGCCTATAGACATGAGCAGTACCATGGACATAACAGAGTATACTGTTCATTTGAGTTTCTATTCAAACCCAAATACAGCCATGCAAACACAACTGCTTCATGGATGGGACTGAAGTACCCAAGCAATTGACTTTTGTACAAAGTTTCCCTCTGGTTGACTACTAATATAACTACTAGTATACTAATTGAAACATTTAATTAATGTATAATAGATACTTTATTTGTACCACTATTGTACATTAGCAGATTGTCTTATGGTCAGGTTTATAATTATTTACATTTCCATTAAGTTTTATTGAAATAGACTATACTTCAACAAATTTTTATTGGACTATACTTTAGGACCATTCATCATCATCATGTCAACCTATAAATGTCTATGCTAAACAAGCCTCTCCCTTGGGGGGTTTTGCCAATAGTTGCTATACTTAGCAGGCAGATTGGCAACCGCAGATAGGCTTTGAAGACATTTTAAGAGGGATGCTGCTGGCCATCCTTCACCCTTCTTTAGTCACCTCTTATGATACCCATGAGAATGGAAGCAGTGGCCTATTCTATGCCGGGAACCACAATGACCATTTAAGATCATTGATATGTGTTAATATATGAAGTGGCCAATGATCCAGCATCAACAGTATATTTGAATATCTTATACAAAAAAAAATTACAAAGCATATAGGGAGTCAGTGACTGCAGTTGGTTTAGAACCATTCTTTATGGCAGTCTATGGGGAAAGCCTATGTTCAGCAGTGGATGGATAATGGCTGAGATGATGAGACAAAGTGTATAAAGTGTGATAGTTTAAAAAGTAATGAGTACAGCTTTGAATAAAGGTTTTCTTATAAGAAGTTTCAAGAAGACAACCTTTCCTGTGAAAAGCATAGATAATTATGCACAAAAATTTGGCTATATTGATAGATTAGCTAGTATATCTATATATTTATTTAAAGACTTAAGGGATAAAAGTGATGAGTTGAATTATTATTGTTGTAATGTAAACAGTACAAAATCAATGCTGTAATCCAAGTATAATTTTAGGTACATACTGGGCTTATAATGTCTTCTCTTGCGAATTTTCTCATCAATAATATCATATTCTTATATTATTCATGCAATATAACAATCAGAAATATAAGTTAAGTGGAAAATTATAGTTAACTCACGCCAAATAGTCCGTTCAGGAGTTTTCGGCCCGTCATTCTCATCGGAACTGGAATCCAAGGTGCTAATGATGCCCAGATCACATTCCTCGCCGTCACTTTCGCTGTCTACCACAGGAAGACACCTGTGCTCCGTCAAAGATTCCTTAATGGGCTCAACATTACCTTGAAATAACCCTTTCTTTCTTTCAGACATTTTAGGTGTATGCATGTGTGGAAGGCGCTGGGAACGCCGCGGCGTTACACCAGCCATGTTTTCAATATTTATATTCAGAGTAATCCAGAAAAATACAAATAATAACTTTAATTAAATCCCCTGCAACAGTCAAGTTAAATTATTTTGTTGACTTCACTGCTACAATAATAGTAAAATAAGTAAACATTTTGAACTATACTACGTATTAGTAACTCTTAAAACGTTTTCAGAGCGTATTAGAGAAAATAATGAGGTAAAAATATCCAAAAACGTGTAAAGGAAAAACTCAACAAACGTTAACCAGCAACCATTGTTGTTTGGCGCGTAAACATCTGTCACTACGTCACTAGTAGTGTTGCTAGATTGCAATACTTATAATTGCAAAGATATTGAATAGAGAAAGAACAAATTACATTGATTTGGTTTTATTTTTATAATTTTATTTTATAACATAACATAAGTAAAAAAAAATCTACTAACATTATAAATGTGAAAGGTTATAAATATGTTTGAATATTTGTAACTCAATCACGCTTAAATGGCTGAACAGATTTTAATGAAATTTAGTCCTCAAATATATTATATTTTAACGTAACACATAGGCTTTTTTATATAGTAATTCACATGGACAAAGTTGTGGGAAACAGCTAATATATTATATTATGAAAAAAGCATTAAAACCTGTTTGTATTATAAACCATCAACGCTAAGTACCGACGGTGCGTTATGTACCTACTGACATAAATATAAATAATCTAGACCTTCGGAATATGAATTAACTTTAAAAAAATAAGAATCAGTAGTCTTATTCATATACTACAGCTAACTGACTATTAATAAAATTATTTAATCATTTATAAGTAAACCAATGATAATATTTTGTTAATTACTATTGTTAGCGGTAGTGGTAAAGCATTGACGTTTGTGATGCAAGTGACGTTTATCGGTTCAGCTATTAAAAAATATTTTCATGAAGTCTCGAGGGATATGGAATGAACAATAAATTCATCATTCATTTATATTTTGTTTTTATTCGTTATGTCAATCAAAATTTTCAATGCGTAGTCGACACCCATGACCTATGTTGCTTTTTCTATGTAATTCGATTTACAGTTGGGACATATAGGAGACAAACTGTTCTAGGTTGCTTGACCAGCTTTAACTGTAGTTCGAGTTAGACGATAGTATAAAAATATCTATTGTAAAATGTTTATAATTAAGTTCACCTGAACAAAAAATGTTTTTAAGGATTAAAACCTAGTTGGTACATAAGTACCTACTGATACTTCGACGCGGCTTCGAGGTCGTCCTAAGAAGGAAGCAACGACGTGATGACCTGGATGCATTTAAAAAAAACTAGTTCGAGGTAGTACAGAGCAGGGATGTTTGGAAAAAACGAGGGAAACCTCTCATCTTCAGTGAGATAACATAGGTTAAATTGTTATCATCAGTTTGCCAGTATGAGTTAGATAAAAAAAAATGAATATTTATATTTCTCAAAGTTTTAATTATTATAGTTTTGATTGGTATTTTATGTTATTTGAATACCAATAAAAGTCACACTTCCGGAATGCTCCTCGGTCCAAGTGCATTGACTGTGCGTAGGTATGTGTAAAAAAAAAAAAAAAACAGTTTTTTTTTAATACGAATACTTGAGCCGTGTCGAGCTAGGGCACTCGACCGGTTGGGTCATGCATGGCCGAAATTATAACAAGTAATGCATTATGACTATGGGTATTAGTTATTAGATACTGACAGTACACAGTAAGTACCTACTTTGATTGTTTACTTTCGAGATGAGCAAAAAAAAAATTGCCACAGATGGTCTGTTGCCATTTTTTTTTTATTTTCTTGTGGAAATCAGTCACGGAATCGGTCTTATGTTTACGTCACAGAGCAAGTAATCACTACGTGTTTCCATATCGAAACGATATAGAGACACCCTTATTTTATAACTGTTGTTCCATCGATCCGTCTGTCACATTAACTACTCTGTCTTTTTAGCTTTATTATTCCCTTTTCGTTTGGGGTCGGCCTCCTTGTCATCTTTCGCCAGATCCTTTCGTCCTGGATCGTCACAATTACTCAGCAAAAGGGGGAAAGGGATTGTTTGCAATGGAGATCTAACAGCCCCATTGCTAGCAATATAACCTATCAGGTCGACTTCGTGGATAATTCTTATTGAATTCATCATGATGTGTCTACTGACCTATTTCACCCTCATCTATCATCCATCATTGACGCCCCGTCAATGTATACCAATAGTGCAGGCGGTGTTACCATTCTATTATCACCCGTTAAAAAAAGTTATTCAGCAACTCGGTAGTAGGTCTCAGCGACTACTAATGAAATATTTTCTAATTGTTAGAGCGCTTAAAAGTCATGATCTATACTGTGACTATTATACCAACCTAGTAATTTCAATGCAATATTTTTTTTAATGGATGATAATGGAATGGTAAGCCCACCCGCGCCATCGGTATACACCGGCGGGGCACCAGTGAAGAATAATAGGTGAGGATGAAGTAGGTCAGTTAGCCCATCGTGACGAATTCAACAAGAATTGTTCACGATGGTTTCCAGGGGGAACCACGTGGAGGTCGACCTAATAAGGTATATTGCTAGCAATGGGGCTGTCAAACTCCATTGCTAACAATACTTTTCTACCCTCAATGCTATATTTCACTCTTCAAACCATAACGTCAATTTTATTTTTAAATGAATCTTCCTAAAAACTCAAATAAATTTATAATTAAAGTCAGGTTAAGTTGGTCGAATAGGTTTTTCAATAATATAATTACATTTTATACAAAAAAAAAAACAATTGTGGAAAAATTAGTTATTTTTATTTAAAAACTAAATTACGCTGTGTGGTCCCGGTATGGAATGGGCCACTCCTTTCTTTTGCCTTGGTGTCATATGAGGCTACTAAGGAAACTTAACAGTTGAGGGATGGACAGTAGCGTTCTTCTTAAAACATCACCAAAGCCTAACTGCAGTTGCCAACCTGCCTACCAAGCGTGGCAACTACTGGCCGAACCCCCCAATAGGGGGAGGTTTATGTTCAGTAGTGGACACTTAACGGCTGATATAGTTGGTAGTTGTTTATCTACAATTTTTTTTTATTTTTTTTCGCCGCATCATTTCTGTTTTGCCAAAAGTTGCCAAAGAATGCTATACTCGTAGATATAGAATTAAGTCCGCCTTTTTAGCAAACACTTTTTTTTTTGTAATGTTGTCCATAAATAATAAATAAATATGACGTATTAGTCTAGGTAAGCGATTTTGAGTAAAAAAAAGCGAGTCTTAACTTTGAATTGTATGCAAATTTTTCTTAGTCTAAGTAAATAATGTATTCGGTATTTGTTCACAGTCATCATTGTCATAATATGTTAAACAAATGAACATTATAACCTTATGCATGGGTATTGTATGAATATTCAAAATTTTGTAATTCGCGCAATTTCAAGATTGTTTTTTTTTTTACAGTTAACTAGACATTACGATATCGTGGAATATGAGGTTTTACTTTGCACAAAAAAAACACGGGAATAAACACTATCGATGGATATCGATAGTAAAAAAAAAATATAAAAAATAATTTAGTTTCAATAAGAGATATTTATACTTATGAAGAGGCAAGTTTTTTTTTTGTAATAAATAAATTCGTAACTGAATAGTAATGAGTTTATCTATTTATATAACCGATTTTAAAAATTCTTTCACCTTCAGAATGTTACATTGCCAACTTGAAACACAGTCTGTACGAGGCTTGTATACTTTTTTCTAAAATACCAGTATGAAGCCGGGTCGAATCGTTAGTACACAATAAATACAGGTGAACTAACAATCTTCCATTTTTAACCGACTTCAAAAAGAAGAGGTTTTCAATTACCCTATATTTTTTACGTTTGTTAGGTAGGTACCTCAGAACTCCGTCATTTATAAACCGATTTGGAAAATTTTATTTTTAACTGTAAGTATATATTCTCATATTGATGTTATAGAAATTTCATTAAAATCGGTCTAGTAGTTAGAGTTTTAAATCAAACTAACTGACTTGACATAATCGGACTTAGTGTTTTTTTTTTTTATGGAGGCAATATGCTTTTTTTTATTCAACTAGAATGGTAAATAAGTAAACGGCCCACTTGATTGTGGTAACTGCGACGGTTACCACTTTCCATCGCGCCGTGGTAGACATGAGCAGTATTATGGACATAATAGAGTATACTGTTTCGCCAATGATACCTCCAGGCATTGCCACTCCTGAGGACTAAGGTGTTTTTTTTTTGTTGGATGAAAATGGATTGGTAACTCCGCCTGCGCTAACGGGATACGCTGGCGGAGCACCAGTGAAGGGTGATGGATGAGAATGAAAACAGGCCTGTTAGCCTATCATGATGAATTCATCAGGAATTAACCATGATAGTTTCCAGGGGGAACCGCGTGGAGATCAATCTGGTTTGGTATATTGCTAGCAATGGGATTTTTAGTCTCCATTATTAATAACAATTCCTTTTCCCCCCGGACTAAGGTGTTATACCTCTGTACCCTGTAAATGCACTGCCATATCCCACCCTTCAAACCGAAATACAGCCATGCAAACAGAAATGCTTCACGGTAGTAATACACGAATGGGACAGTGGTGTCCAAGCAAACGACTTTTGTACAGAATCTCTCTCTGTTGTATTTTAGATTTTAAAAATGTAGAGTAGTGACAAAGGATTGACATATTTATTCGTTGTCAAATATTTATGCGTGCGTTCAGAAATTTATTTTGTTTAAACTAAGGAAAAAATATCAAGCTACTTAAATATAGAACAATTAAAAAAAAATCCTTTTATACGACGTGACTTGCTGAAAAATTAGATCAGATTAATATCATCGCACTTGGGTAAAAATATAATAATTTAAAGCAAATACAGTTAGAAACACTAACCTGTTTTTTTTTTGGATAATCGTGTAACTTAGATTTAAAAAATATATATTGGTTGTAAGTAAAGTGTTATTATTAATAATGCTGTGACCAAATAGATCTGGTCTTCCCCAACGGAGCGGTAATACAATTAGGCAACGAAATATTGCGAATCAATTAACTGATGAAAAATGATAAATTACACGAGAAAAGTGCCACGTTGGTATGGCGCCTAGTAGGATCTTACTTCGTGCTCCTCAAACACAAGAGCAAAGAGAGGCAGCCTGTGAAATGGCTAGGTTAGAAACGAGAAATCGTAGAGCTTATCACAGATATCAACAAAGAGACAATACTCGAAGTGCAAGAAGAATTACTTCAAGCGTTAATTTGTACTGAGCATT